TGAAAATTTGGTCTTGGAAGGGCCCAAGACATATCCAAATGTTCTTATGGTTAGCTGCTTTAGATCAATTACTAACGTCTGCTCAAAGGTTTAATGGTATTGTTGGGTCATCTTTTTTGCAGGTGTGGCTTGGCTGAGGAGTCCTGTTTGCATGCGTTGAGGGATTGTTCTTATGCACATAATGTGTGGGAGTAGCTGATACAAGGTGTGCATTTTTTTTAATTTTTTTGTTTAAATTTGTATGAATGGTTTCAAAAGAATTTAGGTGGTAGTTTAATGGGGGAAGCATTTAATTGGCATTTGATATTTGGGGTGGTTATGTGGTTCACGTAGTCTTGGAGGAACAAAATGATGTTTAATCATAACTTTGATTCCTTCAAGATTTCTGCTGTGAGTATTTTGCAATATATTGAGGGGATTAAGAAAGCTTTTGATGTAGATGCCAATATTTATCTCAAGCATTAGGAAGATATCCGATGGTGGCTGCCTAAAGAGGGCTGGTTAAAGCTCAATATTAATAGTGCTGCTAAGGGGTGACTTAAGGACGCTAGTTGTGGAGGGATCATACGAGATTCTACTAGTGACTAGAAAGGGGGATTTGTTAATAGAGTGGGTAGGTGTATAACTTTAGAGGCAAAATTATGGGGCTTATGGTCTAGGTTCCTCTTATTACAAAGTTTAGGTCTAAGGAAGGTTATCATTGAATCTAACTCTACTGCACTTGTACATATGTTGAAGTAGATGTTGTCATGTCCCTATGTGAAGAATCGATTCCTTTATTAAATCCAGACTATGATTGATGCTAGCTGGCATATCCGCGTGACACATACTTATCAGGAAGGGAATTTTAGTGTGAGTTGGTTGGCTAATTGGAGCCTCTCACATGAATGTGAACTACATGTTTGAGTAAGCCTCCTGAAGGCTTACTTGATGTACTGTATAGGGATAGATTGGGCTTGATTTGCCCATAGTTAGTTTCAGTTTAATTTCGTTTGGGCTTTGCCCCTCTATGTACCAAAAGAAAAGATAATGAGTATGGTCGTACAAAAACACTAATAATTAGCGCTCTGATATTATGTTACTCAAAAGTGATATGGTAAATGAAAATAAATTTGCTCACTTTAAGTTGGCATATTCCTCTCCATGATACTATACTAGTACAAATTTAGAGTCATGCAATTAAATTGAATGATTCGAATTTAACATTTTATATAATGATTCTCTTTACTTTATTTTCATTCTGATTATGTGCAATGGCAAATTTTAACGGTCCTATTTATCTATTTTTTAATATTTAAATAATTTAATATTATTTTTATATAATTATCTGGACCAAAAGTGACATATTAGGGATAAGGGGTAATTGGCTGAAGCCCAATTCAATTTAAAAATGATATAGCCTCACTCACTTTACCCATTGCTCAAGTTTCTTGGCACACTCACCCTTATCACTTCACATAATGAGGCACTCTACGGTGATTTAATGGAGCGGACAATTATCTGCTCTTTATAGTACCAAAACTCATTTAAAATTGTGGAATGTTGCCATTTTCTTATTAATAGGCAATAGGTGTGTGATAAAAGGACTCTCAATACTCTGTTACTTGCCCAATGCAAAAACACAAACTCTAACCCTATATCAACCAACTTCGCTCGATGCAAATTGTTTTGTCTATGCAAGCTTGACTTCTAAGGCTAGCTTTCCCTTTGTCTCTATGGATCACCCAATGTGTTAATAATACAATCAAGTCTTACATGTTGCTTGGTGTATTTGTAATTTCTCACATTCACTTCGCACTCAGAGAAACTTATGATAAAATATCTTGAAAACCCACACAATCATCTGATCCAACTCAAACTTTTAAAGACATACATTTTTTGGTATGCCTAGCACATCTGTAAGAGGTGTGATGCTCCAACCCATTCCCCAAAAATCAAGCCAACAAGACTATTGAATTTAACTTGTTTAAATGATCCTAATGAACTATTCTAGAAAATGATGCAGGAAAAGAAAATGATGCAAAGAAATCATGAATTTAAACTAATTTCTTATTTTCTTTAATCAAGATTAGCAAAACCAATATTATATCTTTATTCTTTATAGTTTCATCGAGTTTTGCTTGTAATCTTTATAGTTTTTTCAATATTTTCAATCTCTATAGTTTCAGAAAAATTAAGTGATCTTTGTTTTTCATATCCCTATAATTTTCACTTTTTAATAGTTTTAGTCCCTATAGAGACTGAAAACAATAAAAAAAACTACAAAGACTAAAAGTAAAATTCGATGAAACTATAAAGATTAAATATTATATTTTTTTTTTCCAAAATAAATCTGCCATTATACTTGATGGATGTTTTTGATTACTTGCCTGTTCAAAATAACATGAATGAATTGTCCCAGTTCATCTAGAAACACATGACGCAAATCATGATTCTCTCCAAAAACGATCACCTTCGTATAAAAAGAATCCAAATGTTTTAAATTCCTCAAGTATTTTGACATTGCTAGCCTGGGCATTAAAAATATTCCCTCCATCCTAAATTATAAAATACTTTTAGACAAAATTTTATATACCAAGTAACCTCATTAAATACACTTAAGAACTTTATTTTTTTCAAAACAAAAATATAACTTTCAAAATATCCTCCAATTAATAATCTTAAATCTATACTTGATTAGTATTAAATAAAGAAAGAAAAAATAATATTAAAATAAATCAATTTAACAAAATCTTACTATTCTCAAAGTGTTATATTTTAAAACGGCAAATCTCTCTAAAAAATATTTTATAATTTAAAATGGAGGGAGTAAACTAATAAAATAATATTGAGAGTTGTTATAAACTAGCGATAATTTCACTTAATATTATAGTTGATAATTGATCGAATGGCCATGGCCATGATCACATAGCCTTTGACACCTCGCCTCAATTCTATTGCTTTCCCGTTTTATATTTTTGCCCAATCATGGACCCAAAAAAAAAAAAACTAACTAGACCTTAACCGCCGCTCGCACTGTCTCATTGGGAAATCACAATGTATATACAAAAAAGAAAGACCACTACTGACAATGCTTTTTAACAAAAAAATGCAAGGCCTTGGAAGCCATAGTCAATAACAAAATCGTATTATCTTGTCATGAAAGTAATTGAAGTTACGCGGGCATTCTCATTTTGAAATGCGCGTTCAAACTTGACCAGATAAAGGAGAAAGGTAATGGCTTCGCCACATAAACACTATGATCCCGGTACTCTCTTATCCGCTCAAAAACGCTCTCTCTCTCTCTCTCTCTGTGGTATTGCTCTCTCTGGTATTGCCTTCTTTTCTATGTTCTGAATTCATAAAAATGTAACACAGCAAAATTTTCCAGCGGGCTTTGCTGCCAAAATACGAGTGCCTTCTCTTCGGTAGGTGTTCTATTTTGCCCTTTGAATCGCCACATATTTCCTTCACAAGAACAGCGTCCGAATTAAATGTTGGTTTAAAATATTCCGTGTTGTGCTTGCAGATGCTGATGCCACTCTTTATCCCCTGAGCTCTGGTTTGTCAAAGGAATTCGCCCAAAATATTATAGGCATTAATATGAATTTTGTTTCCTCTTCCCATTGTTTTTCAGTGGGTACACGGGCTCACCATTCTTATATTCCTTAATTTTGCTTTTGCATAGACAACATGGTTCAGAGACTTGGCATAGACCAAAAAAAAAAAGGCCCCTGGGATGAATCAATTTTTGTACAAGAATTACGGCACATCCATGGCCGGTCTCAGGGTTAAGGCTCATTTTATCAAACAGACCCTCGGTGGTCCGTCTCTCTTTCCCCCTTTTTCCCCCTCTCTTCCTCTCAAGTCCTAGCTTTCTTTCTAAATATTCACTGTCAGGCTGTTGGCCACGATTTCGATTATAATTACTATCATAGGTCTGATGCCCATTTAAAATCCTCTCCAAATGTTCCTAATCATTAAAGATTAAAGAGTAATATAAGTGATCAATCACTTGGGCTGAACACCTTAGTTCATGGGAGATCATCTTACGAGAAACTGAATACTGACTATCATATGAGGACTCTTCTTCTTAGCCTCCCTGTACGAGAAGTTGTAAGCAGCCTATCTTCGTTCCTGTGATACAGATGTCTCATGTCTGTGTGCTTGCTTGGTAGTAGTATCTTACGTCCATGATTTGTTCATCTCAATCATAATCAGATGTTCAGCAACGGGGCCACGGCTCATGTAGCAAGAGCAATTTAAGAAGCTTGCATTGGAGGGTTGTTTTGATGAAACCATTTGCTTTGAGACTCTGAATCCCCCTCCCAGAAACGATCCACGCAATCACGAACATCATGGCTCGGCAACTCCGCCAACTCGTATCCTCCACAAACCCCAAGAGGTTGCGGTTGAAGTTGCTTTATGGAAAGACAACATCGACCCCCCAAAACAGGTTAGATGTTCACTTTGTATTATTCCTCAACAAGCACTTGTGCGCTTAACCGAAAACATTTCCCATATGCAGTTATTCTTCGACGACAGCATTCGCAATATACAGGCTGCAAAGCGACTCGGCCTCCATACCGTCCTGGTAAGGAGGATTTGATTGCTAAGTTGATGCATAACCAAAAATAAGCAACATTTCCACTGACCTGCTCACGTATTTTCCATTAAATGGCGCAGGTGGGCTGCTCTTCACTGTCAGTAGGCGTGGATTTTGCATTAGAAAGCATCCATAACCTAAAGTAAGCATTACCAGAACTCTGGCAACTTCATGAATTTGACAAGTCAAAGAACAGGAGTAACACTTGCAGAAAGATAGGGAATGGAAACTTCCGTAGCAGCATAGCTTTCAAACCCTTCATTCCAATGCAGACGGATGTGGCGATATATAATATCCTGTCGCTTCTGTAACATCGTCTTTCGTCTACTATCCCAATATGTCACTATTATTAGATGTTGTATGGAACACAATATTAGTTGTCTTGTCCCAATATTGTAAGCCCAGCTAGGGTAGATAGCAAAATCGACTCATCTTGTTAGTTTTCAAGAAATCTTTCTTGATACAATATGATGGATTGTGAACATCAGACGCTTATCCATCTATTTCTATAGAAATATTGACCAAAATACAATACATAATGCATGTCACAAGCAAAATAATGTGCAAGATTATCCACAAGTCAGTGGAGCTTGCACTGGCCCCAGGGCCAACAGTAAAATCCCAGAAAAGAATCTAGTCAATGATCCTCTGCAGCATTACACGACTTCGTCTCCTGGTGGACACAGCCTGCAAAATGCACCATGTTGACAAAGTGAATTAATCATGATAAGCACAAAAATATTCAAATGCCTAGGCTGATTATTTATAAAGGATACAGATAAAACAAACAGCAATATGTGCTGGCCTCTTCAGCAACTACCACCTTCCCCACTGCATGCAAAACCATTCATTTAGTAAATCAATTACTACCACTGAAATCTCTGAAATCAAAAACATCTACAAACAACTTGAAGTCGTACCACAAACGAGGCAGGGGATGGACGATGGAGTTGCAGAGGCCAAACTGGTAAAAATGAACGACTTCTTATGTATTTACAGGGATTTGGACCCAAGATAACCCAACTGATCTACCAAGTTCTCCAAGCCCTCAGCCCACTCGTCGGACTGTGGTACCAAGTCTTCCACCGGCGCATCGGTTTGGGACTGGTCACCAAATATAACTTCCTCATCCGGATTGCCATGAACTAAGTCTTCGTTCAGTAAGTCCTCCCAGATTGTGTCACTCACTGAACCCAAATTGCTTCCGCTCGCTGGAGGGATTGAACTTGATATTGGCTCCTTGTTGTCACTGCTTGATTCATTATCATGAGTAGCTGAGAAAAAAGTCTCTATCTCAGATTCTATCGTTGCCAATTCATCTTGTTCTTGGGTTGAATAGTCCACCACTGGTTCGCTAGGTACAGCCACCGTAACAGGATCATCCTGTAAATTCTCCACACTCGGGCTTGCAGTTAGTCTCCTCTTTCGCCTAATATCAGCACCAAGTAATTCTCTGTTTTGGGTGTTTCTCTCGGCAAATTGTTGTATAAAATTTGCGTTTTTCAGTGCTTTGGCAAGAAAAGTGAGTATCTGTTGTTGTTTCTTCTCTGTGCTCTGGAATCTTTCCTCCATTGCAATCAATTGCGCCCGCGAATTCTGCTGTTGCTGTCTCAATTTCACAATTTCGCCCATGATCACCGTCCTGTCTCTTCTCAACCTGTCGAGCTCGCCTTCCAATCCGTATTGCCCCAGTTCAACACAAGCAACCCCTCGTTCTTGCTGTACACTCTGTGACACATTTCTTCTTCTCTTGATGGTCTTCAATAAATGCCTCTGTCCGCCCAAAAACCCCTCGTTCGCAAACTCCCATCTGTCTGGATCAATTTTTCTAAATCCCTGCATCCATTTCCGAAGGTAAGACCCGTTATTCCCAAACCACCATAAAATTACACAGAGATGAATCAAATGAATACATCATCAGTAAATGGTGGAAAAAATCATCTACACATCCAAATCCATATTAACAAGAAACAGAGAAGGAAAAAGAAACTGGGTGATTGCATTGTTTTCTCAACATTCCGATACAGATGCATACACATGATTCAGTTGTATACTCTTGTCGTCAATTTGTTATCTAAGTAGATAACTGACTCAACTAAGAGCTAACTTTATCACTAACAACTTCTGTTTCATATGGCAGGTCTAGTTAAATAATCAAATCAAAAGTAAAAATGAAAGCCATAAAGTAATGATAGCAATCAAATTCCTAAAACCGGGGAGGCTATTTCTATAATTGAAAATGAAAAAGAAAAGCAACTGATACTCACATAGGTATTGAGCTGGCGAATGAAGCTGGAGAAGTTACTGTGCTTGAAGTAGCGAGGAAGAATGGTGGTCGAGAACTTGTGGGAGTCCCAGACTATGAAGCTGTTACGAGCAAGGCTCCAAGAAACAACAGGGTCGGTGGACGGGTCTTCCACCATTTCAAATGTCTTGGTGAGAAATGGAGGAGGCCCCATCTCGTGCAGCCCTTCCATTGGGCGAGGAGAGAGACTTGAAGGGGAAGAGGAAGCTGAAGACGACGAACCAGCTACCATTTCTTCCACTTTCACTCTCACTGTCTCCATACCACAGGTTGCAGAGAAGAATCAGAAAGAGCGAAGTCCAACAGCAAAGGCAAGTAGCCGTAATATGTTTGATCAGTTGAAGAGTTTTGTTTTGGCTCTTATTTCTTGATAACTAGAGAGAGATGATGCGTTTTAGGCGGTAGAAAAGAAGATTCTAGAGACGGAAAAGGGAGAGAAATATCTGGTAGGTGTTCATTTTTATTCCCTGATTCCGCCATTTGTCCCTCTGACGTGGCATCAGATTCTGTCTCTCACGAAAAGTTCTGGAAACTTCTCCTCTCTTGGGCTTCTATCCAGATTCCTAGCGGAATTTGCAATATGGGCATTCCCATTATTGTAAACTAGGTGGGCTCTCAGACAAAAACGACCAGGCACAATGAAACCTCATTGGGCTCGCACAGTGAAATAACAGGCAAGTCGTCCTAGCCCACGAGGCCCGATTGAGAATAAGGCTCATCAAAGCCCAAGTCTCGAACTTAGGTCCTAAATAACTAGAAATTTCATGAAATCAAGTTTATTTTTCTGTCATCTATCATCTATCATCTATGTGTGTACATGTATATATATGTAAAAGGCATATCGTTGTTACTATTTATCTGCAGTTGAATGAAAGGTAACAACGATGTGAGCCAATATTTTGTATGTTGAAATATCATGTGTTGTTGTTGTTAAAGTATCAGGCCTCATAGTAGGAAAAAAATAAATGCAGGGTTCATGGTGTAATATTCCCAATAAGAACAGTAAAATTATCATTGCTAATCCACCCTAATCTCTCAAAATCAAGGTGATTATCGAGTTTGTAAAATATTAACAATGGGGATTCCAAATTTTCATAATTTAAAATACTCTCATAAACTTCTATCATTTACAAATCAGAGTTTAAAACACGTGTGTAAGTATGAAATTCAATTTAAGTTGATGTATTTGAAAAAAGAAGTGTAAAAACATCAATTTTCAACTAACATAGCACATGCACAGTGACATATCACTCCTGCATTATAGCTCACTGTCTCTATGCTCTGTGCCGTGGCTAAAGCGCCATGAGCTGCGATTTATTACGTGAATTTTGATAACATTTTGTTGTCATAGGACAACTTTTGGGATGAACTTTCAAAGCATTCTATTTCTCTATCTGACATCTAATTAAGGTAATATAACTGCTTACAAAGAGTTTTTTCTTAATTTTAGCTAATGGCACAAATTTCATGATCAAAATATTTTTCTATCAAAAGTTGGACACCCTTTACAAAAAACATACTCCTTTTTCAATTAAACACACAATTTAAGTATCATTTAAATCATAACGCAAGTGCCTATAGCCTACATTAACATTTAAGTCATGCTCAATAGACCATTATAAACTTGTGTAACATACCACAATCAATCAAAAATATGTATATCAAAACTTCAACTCTCAACCCCTTTATTTCAAAAATATAAGGAGGAGTTAACTTTACACAAATCATCATAAATTTCATCAATGTCAATCAATTATATGCTACCCTACTTGCACTATTATTTTTGCCTTAACAAGCTTTACAGCTCCATCATAAAGAAATTCATGGCATGAAATATATTCAAACCGTTAACATTATAATGCAAGTAGTCAAAAAAATCACATGAAATCCTAATTAGTAAATTAATAATATTTAAATACAAATAATTTAAAACTGAGGTCTACAAGTAGGACTTACTTGAAATCCTAAACCTCCAATCATTTTACTTAATCTTGATTTAATGAGTTAGGCCCTGCAATATTGAAGAATGATGGGTGAGTGCCATCATTTAGTAACCAAAATTAACTTAACTTATGCAACTACATATCAATTAATTATGAATACAAATGACAATAATCTCGCAATCATCATATTCACATGTTTCAATTAATATAATCTCAGCCACAAAAATAACAGCCATGTGACCAGGTATGCAACACATATCATCAAGTATATTTCAACAATGCACATCTTAGGGTCGCATTAATAACATCCATGTAACTCTAATGAAAACATACCGAATCACAATAATCGCAACCATGTGGCCAAAACTAAGGTAAGCTTCAAATTCCAACAATAAACCACTGTTACCAGGCGAGAACACCCATTTCAAAGCAATAAAGTGAAAAGCACTACTAAAATATTTGCAAATGTGTTTTGAAGTGCTTATGATAGCAAGCACTCTTAACAGTTTACACAAGAGAGCATTTTTTTTAAAGAAGTGCGTCCATAGATATGAAAAAATAATTATAAAAAAAAAACTTAGGAGAGTGTTTATATCCAAAGCGCTGTCATACGCACAAGTACAAATATTTTTTTAAAAAAGATAATAAACCTGAGCATTTTATTTGAAGTGCTCTTATATACTTAAAAAAAAAATAAAAGAAAAAATGGAATGCTTGCCACGTAAGTGCTCTTATAAGCTTTATAATTTAAAAATTATTAAAATATATATTTAATCATTTAATTTTATATAATATTTTATTTTAATTTTTTAATTTTATAAAATATTTTTTTAATTATTTAACTTTAATATTATTAGTTTTATTTTGATAAATTTTTACATTAGACTTTTAAATATAAATAAAATAATATTAAATGTTAATATATTAAATTTAATTTTTTAAAATAATAATGATTGATATAAAAAGTAATTGCTTAAAACTATTAATTTTAAAATTAAAGAATTAAAAAAATATTTTATAAAATTAAAAAATTAAATTAAAATTTTATATAAAATTAAAAGATTAATAATATCCTTTAGTTTTGAAAAAAATTTAAAACAGAAAATCAAGAGAGTGCTTATGCTTAAAGCGTTCCGGCAGCCAATATTTAAAAAAAAAAAAATTAAAACCCCAGAACTTCCCATCAGATACTCGAACGCGAACAGCCGGACCCTCCTCAAAAAGTCCCCCCCCCCCCCAAAAAAATATCTCTGTGCTCTCTCCTTTTCCGTTAAGTGTTCTGCAAAACCTTGCTGGAGCTGATGCCGTCGAGGGTGGCCCACGTCTTCGCCGTCCTTAAAGCATCGAACTCCAAGAAGAAGGACCAGCCGTCGTAAATTTCACGCCGTTGCCGAACTTGAAGAAGAAGACCAGACCTGTAATCCTCGTCGCCCAGCATCATTTCTCTGCCGTCGATTTGAAGGACTAGTCCAACGCCATTCGAGAAGTCCAACGTCCATTCGCGGTCTAGAGTCCGATCTGCGACAAGCCGAAGCGTCGCACGCGTTCTGTCCATTAAAAGACCGTTGGCTGCCGGCCTTCGTCGTGCACGGTTAGCTGCTGTAGAATCGACCTTGGCTGGCTTCTGTTGCCGACTTCAAGCTTCCTTAGGTATTTTTTTAAAAGAAATTATTAAAATTTTTTACATGATAAAATCCCCTCCGCCTTGAATTATAAAGTTCTTCAAAAGACACTTAAGTATTATTTGATTATGGCTTCACCTCCAAAACATGCTTATTGAGTCTGATTAAGAGTATCTGGAGCATTTGATTAATTAGGAGAAAAAGGGAGTGTTTATGCACTGTAATTGGATATGAATAGCTGAGACAAGCTTTGACGTGTGACCTCGCATTGTAGGTACGGATTTTTATGAGTTAATTGAAATCCCACTAGGAGAACATCGTTTATTTTATGAATTAATTGAAATCCCACTTGTTCACTGACAATCATTGGTATAAAAAAACAAGCTTCTTTAACTTAGCTGTAGAATCAACCAAGGCGGGCTTGAAGAAATCAAGAAAAAGAATGTTGATTTTGTAAATTTTTGTTTAATAATGCAGAAATTCTTCTATTCGTTTAAAAATGTTGATCATGATGTATGGTTTTGAAGATGATCCGAATGTAAGTGTTAAATTCGATAATTTTGACTGCATATTTATATGAAACTGAAAATGTAAGAATTAAGCCGTCTAAAAGGGCAAGGTTGTGTGGGAGATGAGTAGATTGAGGTTTAAACCTTTTTTGGTCTGACAAAAACATGTAAGACACTATATAATATTTATTTGTTTGTTTTTGTCCATTGCACAATTAGCCACTGCCTGAAAGTGAAGCACATATGGAGGACATCATTGTGGAATATGTTACAGAACTGGTAAGCATTGCGTCAGGTTTTGTGTATTTTTCTTTGATTGCTCAATAAATGCCCACAGATAAGTTGCCTTGTTTCCTTTTGCCTCCTCTTCTTCCTTTTTCCATTTCTCGAGGTACATAGCCCAGGATATTGGATTGCGGAGAGGAAAGTTGTCAGTTGAGGATTTCATTTTCTTGTATTTGATTTACAAGGTACCACTTTTTATTGCCTTAAGTTTAATATAGGAAACTTTTATTTGGATCATAAAATTCTTGATCAATATTTTATTATACATCATACCATATCTTATCCATGACATAGTCATTTAGAGAAGCACCAGCTTGAATCTGCTATTCTAATATGTTTTTATCAGCAGTAATCTATAGGTTCTCTTCACATGATTAATCCTTTGCAGAACAACAGAAGTACAGGGGATGCATAAAATGATCTGGAACATTTTTTGGCACATGGTTTGGGAATGATAAAGTAACAGTAGCTCTTGACTTAGTATCCGTGTATAGGTATTTTTTCCCTTGCATGCATATTTAAACTGTAGCATTTCATGACAAAACGATGCCTTCCGTAAAGCCAAAACTAATATAAATTGTCCTTATCTTGGAACAGTTAAAAAGTGTCTTCCTAAGTGGCTTGTCCTGTTTAAGTTGCTGATTGCTTAAGATAGCAGTCAAACTTGAGCTCGAGAATCATAAATTCTCCTTGTATTAATTAATTTCTTCTCAGCTACAACTGGGCAAGAAGCTGATCATGGTTGATCAATGGATTCAAAAGAACAGACAAAAACTCATTTTATGATTCCAAACGCTGGTTAGACTCGGATGGTGAAGATTTATAGAGTGTCAATGGTAGTAAGGATTTCTTGCAATGGTTTTTATAACACTATATGGTGAACCAAGGTTGCTTCGGCCAACTGATAAGTGTTCTCATTTATTCATCTACATATTTATGTTCTTTATAGCGCTGACGGTATTGTGGAAGACACTCCCCCCACCCCCCTGTTTTGGGTAATATTTCTGTTCTTATCATCTAATATTTAGAAGATTAGATTAAAAATCTTTGCGCTAATTTTGCAATTGGAGTTGTTGATTGGGATTGTAGTTACCAAATTCATAAAAATATTGTTTGTTTCATTTTAAATGAAAGTATATTTTATTATCACTTTATGATGTCAATTCTAAAATATGCTACATAAATTTATGTAGCACGTGATATTGATATTATTTGAAAAAATTGAGGCTATTGGAACGTTTTTACATAAAAGCATTTCAAGGTATGTCTATTTATAAGAGTGCTTGTTCAAAAAGTGTTCCCATAAGCCTCTCCAAGTGTTCTCGAGGGAGGTGCCACACGAGAGCACTTTCACAGAAGAACTTCCATAGATCGCCTATATACGAGCGCTTCTAGAAGAATTCTTTTTGGATATATGGGAGCACTTAGTTCTGAACTGTTTTTTTTTTTTTTTTTTATACTGACAATTTCAAAGTTTTCTCTCACATTGAAGGAGGGAAAAATACAAATGTGGGTGTTGCCTTCTCAAATCCATTTTGGAAGCAACATATTTTAAAATGGAAATAAATTATTATTTAAGAAAGAGCATAGATGTTGCCTTCTTAAATCTATTATGTGAATAACATTTAAAATAAAAATAAATTATTATTTATATCTTTAATTTATTTGGGTAAAACAGATTTTAAAATGGGATAAATTTTTATTTAAATTTAAATTTTTATGAAGCGACATGTTACAACTTTCAGGTACATAAAAATAAATTATTTTAAATTTTTTTATACTTTCAAATGATAAAACTTTTTTTTGCAAATACTGAAAAATATCTCAAGTAATTTTTTATAGTATTTATTTCAAGAAATTGTTCTAGTGCATTGCATGGGTAAAAATTAGAGATGAAAAAATGGATCGGTTTTTGAAGGGCTCGGGCCTAAAAGGACCAACCCGAGTTTTCTTTAATATCTTAATATATGAAGCTCGACTCTCAACATAATGGGCTTAAGGCCGGCCCTATGGGCTCCAGACCCTTTTAACTATTTTTATTTTTTTTTAAATTTTTAATCGAACAAAAAATTATTCCATTTTAATATAATACCCAACCAAAAAAGATATGAAAAAATTAATTAAATAATATTTAAATGAATTAAAAACACAAATGAAATGAGAGTAAAGTAATAAGCAATGGATCGGCTAAATCAACAAATATCCAATCAAAATTATATGAGATTGAGCCTTAAAGGATTGAGATATGGGACTAGGAGATCGAGGAAAACAAAAAACATGGGCATAGTATGTGCATTGGATAGAACTTAGCTCATTAGTCATGAATACATGAGCATGATAAGTGATAGGAGGACTTGGAAGATTGATAACAACGAGTGTCAAGTAGTCGAGCATTGTTGAAATTTGGTTCTTGAAAGGGAGCACTATCGGAGTAAGCAACAGGGACGACTGGAGAGTGAGCAAAAACATGAACAAGGATGACTTGTAAGTTACGATGATAGGGAAGGGGATGGCAATGTGATGACATGTTAAAGAGCAAGGACAACTTGTAATGGTAAAAAGGAGAGAAGCATATTGAAGAAAGAAGAGTAAATGTTTAACTAAATAAATCATTATCGTGAATCTATATGAATTAAGGGATTCAAGATTGTATTTTTTTTTAGAAAATAGCAACAAAAGATTTTTGTATGAAATTTATATCAATTAAGAACCAATTGTTAAAACCTGAATTAAAAACAAGCTACAATAAACTGTTGTTAATTTAAAATGAGTTGTTATTAAAATCTAAATAAATATTTACTGACAAAGGTTAGCCTGAATTCATAAGTATCCACTCAAATTTTGACAACAAATGATCATTGACTGATATAATTTTTGATCAATGATTTTTCATTGCTATTTTTCTTTTTTTTTTTCTTCCATCCTTAGTAGATATGGGCTGAAATGTGATGTGTAGCAAGATTTAGCTTAATTTTTTTTTTCAAATCTAAAAAGTGAAAGTTATGAAAATTAATTAAAAAAATATGCACATGCGAGCTTAAGCGTCTTGTAGGGCCAACCTGTTTAAGCCTTAAATTAAACGAGCTAGCCTATTTAAGTCTGATTTATCATTTTAGAGTTATATTTGCAAATCCGGCTCTACTATTATATAGATTTATACGGGCTAGCCCGACAAGTTCAGCCCGTTTTTTCAGCTCTAACAAAAATCTTGTTAATGTATCGTTGTGCCTGTGGTGTCAAACTAGTCATGAGCATTAATTATATAATACATGCTTAACGGCAGTAATTATACACGGATGGCTTTCCATTTGAATTTGATTCATGAAATTAATACTATGCATGTATGTATGTATAACGCAGGAATGATGGCTACTCATTTAACAAACAATTAAGTGGCAGTGAGAAATTTACTGAGAATGGGAATTAGGGAACAGTGTGAAAAGGGGAAAGCTTATGCTTGTGCTTTATGGCATACGTGAAAATGGTGAAGGAATCCGATGCGTTTGAGGCGTGGAGAAGTGGTGATATAAGAATGCTTCCAGAGGAGAATTAAGAAAGGCACTCCCAGCAATTGTGTGCGATGGAGAGGAAGCAACTAAAGAGGTCAGTTCCTTTTCATGATAGCCATCTATATATGGCGGTGATCTCATGTTGTTGTCCTCTCAAAACAAAACATGATTCATCCGTATCTCAATTAACAAAGGCATCTTCAACAGGAATCTATGTGCCGGATCTTGTTCTCCCTCTCATTAATTTCAACGAGAAAATAAAAGCAAAACGAGCTTGATGTTCACAGATGGCCAGTCCGCTGATCCCAGGTAGCGCGTGTTAATATATAAACAAAAGGAATTAATCCCGAATATTTAAAGCGTGTATTTATTATATAGTCTCTGATTCAATATCCAAGTCCTGAATCAAGGTTCGACGTTTAAAAGGCAACGGTTTCGAGTAAATTCTTTCTTAATCATCGCCTCTAATGTCACCTTCCAAGTGGACGAAACTGTGATAACGCTCAGATTTGGGTAAATTCGATAATAGGAGTATCAATTATTGGGGTCGAAATAAAAAAGATTGCCCCTTCGGGGACATCCGATAAATAAAAAAAGATCGGAAATCCAGATCTCGGAAGCGCAGCGCTGGCGCAGATCGCTGTCACTGTAGTATGAGCAGGAGCAGCAAGGTGGTTTAATGGCCATGTTTCCATTGTGTCATTGTGTAGTTGAGTTCAACTTCTTAAGGAGTTGCTATTTATTGCCATTACCGACCTCCCTCTCTCTTGCACGCACAGGCACAGGGTTATGAACCGACAAGGGTTCAGAAGATGACGTCATGGTGTCCCCACCGATGACCTCATACTGTCACGTCTCATTGCCTCCTCCGCCCCTCTCCCACGTGTCCCCTCGGCCCGAAACAGTCCACCACCCCTTCATTTGCTGCCCTTTTCATATTAAATTAATTTATTTGTAAAGTATCCTTTCGAACGGAAAAATTGGGCATGTAAATAAATAAATAAAATGGGACTTGATGAGCACTTGAATAGTCAAGATTTATAGATTGTATTTTTTATTTTATTTAATATTTTATCATTGATTTAAATAATATATATTTTATTTGTATAATTTAATTTGATATTATTTTTAATTTTTGTATAAATAGATTATCTAAATGTATTCTCTACACACTTTTATAATATTTATTTTAATAAATATAAAATAAAATTAATAAACTTGGACCGTTCATATTATTTAAACAAATCTGGGTTGAACACGGTAGATCCGAATTCGGAATTTCGGATTTGCCTGCTTGCGGGTGGAGAGAGGAAGAGGATGGGAGAGGCTGTATCTGCTCCGGGAAGATGCTGACATGTGGCCACTCACGTGCGGCCGGCTCTATGGTCTTTACCTTGCCATACCCTCCATGCACTGCTTGCATGTCCCACCACGTGCTTCCCTTATCATTAACTACTATAATAATCATGATCAGTCTGTTAATCCCACTTAAGTACGCCCGCCCCATCACTAAAAATAAATTTCATGATAAAATTAAGCAAGAGCACCAGAAAATTATTCAACGCCGGCCAGTGGGTTGGAGTGACTAGGAAATAGAGGTTTAATTATTAATATTAATTAATAGCAAACCGTGGGAGTGGGCTCAATAGGAAACAATAATAGCCAGTCAGTTAATGTGAGCGAGATTCGTGACACGTGGACATCGATTGTAGCAGTAATCTAAAGTCCATGTGAGATCCCACAGATTTGTTAATTTCTTCCATAAATTTCGAGAAAACGACCCCTCGAGTGTCTCTAGATAAATGGAACCCAGCATCCACGAAGGATGCGTGCCTCTGTTTACACAGCTTATTACTAAATCAGCCACTGATACTGACGATAAGCACCTTGCAGCTGAATAAATTCAAGTCTAGGACCCGTAGACTGGACTTCACGGTTATGGATTCGAGTTACCAAGGCTCCATCAAATCCTCTCTGTAGCCCGTTCGTAAATTCACTCGACCACTCAGACTTAACGAGAACCCACTACCATATGTCAACCTGTTTCAAGCTCTCGTATCTCCCTTTAGTAATTTTGCTAATGACTTGAACCAGCAATATTGTTTGAGCACCCGAACCAACCTAAATGTAGTTGAAGATATGTCTATCAGGCATTTAAGCCCTATATGAAAAATGAACGTGTTTTTAATAAAACAAAATATCACATATATATATATATATGTTTATATATCATTGCATATGTATATTCCAAAAATGTTGGTTTGCAGTTGAAGATGAGTGCTTTTTTTCCCGTTTGATTAAAATGATGCTGTTGAAGTAAGATATGGATGGGAGGTGGAGAGCAGACAAAAGATATCGAAGGTGGAATGGAAAAGGGGATGACGAGATAGAGTTATGGTGCGCATGTACAGTAGATGCAATCACAGATTTGGAATCCTCACGTCCAATCAAATCCAAAGCTTTCCACACAAGAAAGTCCCAACACATCCTACGTTTAAAGTGCCCACCCTCAACTTGTCCTCTAAGCTATAGTTAATTGTTATTTGCACTATTTATTGATTATTAGGCACCTTCCCGCGGCTTTTTCCTGTTAATATTATATCAACTTCATTTTACCATGTACTGCTCCCCCACACATTCCTGAACCTTTTTCTGCAATAGAAGGATTCGTCATCAAAACGTTACTATGTCAAGGACAGCTGGTTAGAGCATATATTATGTTTGAAATCCACCGGACAACCCATCCACTTCGCAAACGGACGAGGAGCGCGCCAAAAGCTTAGGCACACAATAAACCAGGTTTTACCACCGGCAAAGCCATGGCGTCATCACCCATCAAAAAGTTTCAAATCTTAGCCAATTAAAGGCTTTCTAAACTGCCTTGTCCTCTCTTATTATTTTCACATCTTAATTAATTCACCACTTTGTTTTAGTTAATTAACTTTTTTATTAACACACCTCATTACATTCTATTTCTACCCAACAATCAAAGCAGCCTCAAGTCTAGGTAGAGGTGACTTCACACACTGCGCCTTCGCTCCCATGCAATAACACATGCATGTTTCTTATCTTCCCTTCTTAACTTGCCTCCTTCAACTTACGGGACATCTCCCAATCCTCTCACATAAAAAAAAAAACACAAACATAAAAATGTAAAATTAAGTTTAAATCCAAGTAATGTGATATGCATCATTATTGTGAATCTTAATTTGACCGCACTCCATGCATGCTTGACTATCCTCACTTCAGATTAAGTGAAAAACAAAACAGGTAATTATGAGAAATCGTGCACCGGCACCGTGCCTTTTTTCCAGCAAATAGGCGACAAGTGGGCACATGTAATTGGCTGCCACGGCTCCTCAGCCGAGGGAAAAGAAAATATCAGGCCACGTGTCTGACGGGGAGCGAAACGATGACTGGGAAAGTGCAAGGTAAGGTGCCTCGGATGATTATGTCATGGGCGTGAGAAGTGAGGTGAGGAACACACCACTACTCCCTAGTTCCTGCAAATAGTCCACCCCAGCACGCCTTCCTCTCACTATTACACCATGCTTCCAAGTTTTTACTAACTTTTGGCTACATCAAGGTTAAAAATAACGCCTCCCCCTTAAAAGTCAATGTGACGTCACTCTAATTCACGACCATCTCCCTGGCATGTGAAACCCCGCCCACGCGCGCCCAGTGCGCGTGGAGTTCCACAGTAGTTGATGACGCCAGCAAGGCCGCACCGATTTTCTTTTATAAAACTGCTCACAACTCGCCAGGCGTTCATTCGTATCACTGAGGAGGATTTACCCCGGTGACAGGATGCAAGGCCTGCGCCCGTGCTCAAAAGACTTCGTCCTTCCCCTGGACCTCGCTCCCATGACTAACTCCGCTTCGTCTTCTTCCTCGCCCTCCTTGTCCATCGACGTCGACGAGTCCCCCGAGACTCGAATCCAGCGCCTCATCTCGGAGCATCCCGTCGTCATCTTCGCCCGATCCTCCTGCTGCATGTGCCACGTCATGAAGAACCTCCTTGCCACCATCGGCGTCCACCCTGCCGTCATCGAACTTGACGATCAAGAGATCGCCGCCCTCCCGCTCTCCCACGACAACGACATCCAAGCCCTCCCTAACCGCGCTCCTGCAGTCTTCATCGGCGGAACTTGCATCGGCGGCTTGGAGTCTCTCGTCGCCCTCCACGTCAGTGGCCACCTCGTCCCCAAGCTCGTTCAGGTCGGAGCTCTTTGGTTATGATTTCATCCGCAATCCTCATCCTCCTGCCCTCCCCGTGTACTGTAAATTAAAATTTCCAAATGTGTGGCATAGGTTGGTGTCGACTGTCCACGAAATCTGAAATATAAAAATATGAGGTACGAGGTGTTTGATATAGAACAAGTGTATGGGAATTTAGGAGAAGCGTTCCATTATCCAAAAAGGCGTTGAATCCAATCTGTGGAGCTAAGCTTCTGGGTTCAGTTGCCGCTGAGAGAGGGAACACGTGTGTGGGGAGTCCAGAAAACGTCCATTGGATTCAACGTTAAACCAAAACCAGAATAGATTGATGTAGTCAGACTCAGAAACCTCCGTGGCTTGGGTCCCATTCGCAATAATTGAGCAATCAGGGTCGTAGCTAGGGCTCATAGCCCAATAGCTTCACCACTCTTCCCTCCTAACCTTATCTATCTCTATCTCTTTGTAAATTTATTAGGGTTAGGTTTATAAGAATCTGGAGAACTGGCATCTTTCTAGCTCTTCCTTGTTTGGTGTTTTCTCCGTTTATGGAAGCCTGATCTGGGCTTGCTCTTGGCTTTTTCAATGGTGTGGGACCACACGGCACGCCCACCGTTTACAGTCATGATATGATGATATATACAGACAATCAAATGACCAAAAAACTTTTGCCCTCTGGGGCTGAGCCGCTCATGGGCAAGAATCTGATTGAAGTTTGAATGAAAGATTCATATTGACGTAGGGACCTTCAATTATTGCCAGAAGCTGTTTTACATTTAATTACATCGATAATGGTTAGTATCGTCCCGTCAAGAAGGGGGAGAAACTACTTGTTTTTGCTTGTCTTGAGAGGAGAGAATTATTCGGACGCGAGCGGCGTAATAATATGTTGTCCCCTTCAAATTAAAAGAAATAAGTTTTGGCCCTTTAATTTTTCGTTTGAGATGATGGTGTGTGTGTGTGTGTGTGTGTTGATATAGAATCACGGGCTTCACACTCACGTCAAAACGCTCGCTTTGCACCGAGCAAAGGGGAATATCCGCGCTACAAAAAGTGATGGCTGCTTTTGTTGAATTAATTTATTATTTTCAATCAGGTCATTCCAAATTTAATCTAGAATAATGACTGAACTTGTGGTCTAAGCGTGCACTGTATTGATATAGATTTTACATTACTATCATGATGTTGATAAATTGATAAGAAGACTTCATAAAAGACTGAAGGCTACAAAAGGAAGCAATGTTGAGAGGTATAAATTTATTATACGGCCAGGATATTTGCAGTTTGGCACTTAGCTTATGGTTAAATGCGCCTAAATCAAAATAATCTTGCATTTAGATGTTTGTAAATTTGAATTTATACCATATCTATTATTTAGATTCATAAAAATTTATATGTTTGGATTTGATCTAAATTTATATTTATATTTTGTTATTGTGCTTTTATAATTCAAATATTTTTTCTAGTATAGTCATTTGAAACGTTAGCTACTTTAACTTTCTCATATATTTCTATTTTTTTGTTTATCATATTTATTTTTCATTGCTTTTGAGTTTGAAGTTTTTTACGCTATCCAAATAAATAATTTTAAATTTGAGATTTTAAATCTATAAACTGAATTCTACAATTTAAACGCTATGTAAAGGTAGATGCTCTTAACATTTCAATAGATTGGCGATGACCACGAGTGATGAAGGAATGAGATGTGTATACGCTTTAACTGCTTTTGGGTCAAGCTAAAACCCAGTGAAAGCAGAGGAAATAAAAGTGGCAGGAATGTGTGTGTGTGTAGCACCAGTGCATGAGAGGGAGTTGCGAATTTTTTGGTGGTAAAATGAAGGGCGGAAAGATCTTTTTCCCCGAATACACAAAAAGAAAGTGGGATTGAAATTTGAAATTCGTGATGGATTGATGCGGAAGAGTCGCGACCCCACTTGCCACCCACGGGACCCCTTCATTTTCCTCTGGGCCTGGAAAAGACAGCTTCCCCATCATCCTCCATTTCTCTCCACCCTCACCGTTCCTCCTCCCAGGCCATGTCCTCAACTACACACTGAATTTCCAATTCCTCTCTTTTTTAAGCAAAGAAAAAAAAAAAATACACTTGCAAAACGGGAGCCGGCGTGCATGCCCGTCACACTTGGCGGACCCCATCTGGAATCATTATTGCCTGACGTCACTCCTGAATTCCTTCCCCAGCGCAAGTTCGGACAAAGCCCCATTCATCGCATAAAGTTGGAGAGGCACCCCCAGGCACCAAGTTTTGTGAACAGCGATCAACTCTAGGACACAACCAAGTGAACCTCCACGAGCACAAATACTAGTACACCGTGCGTCATTATATGATGGAAATTCGGAACGTCCGAGGATAATATAGACAGAAATTTCAGTATACCAGTGACTAGTTTAACTATACTCATGCTCATTTGTACAGTGGAAAGCCTGAGTGTGTGTGTGTGTGTGTGTGTTAAAATGTAATGAAAGAATATGAATGGTTGGTGTTCGTGTTACAATGGACCCAAGTTCATAAATTTCTTGACTTCGTCGTACAAAACTAGTATGGCTGCAGCTCCGGTACTCCTAAACATGCCGGAGACAGCCCCGCGGTAGAATGAAACAAGACCTTCTGTCCTGTATATTTTCCTCCAACAGTCCAGAGTGTTACTGTACAGTGGGTGATCCATGCCGGACTGCATCATCATCCTCCTTCGAACTGTGTCTAATGGATATGATATCAACCCGGCTGATGATGTCACTGCCTGAGCCACCACCCAACGTTTCCACAAAGCCACCTTGCCTCCCGATTCTTCGGCTAACATCTCTTTTATCGTATCAAAGCCTCCAAAGTAGAGCCCTCGGTGCACCACCATTCCCTGCAGAGATGCGGGGAGCCCCCTGTAAATACCTCTGATCCCATCCTTTCTAAATATTGTGGCCAAGAAATGGTGTATGCCCTGAAACTGACGCTTATCTGTTTTTCCAATGTCCGCAGCAAGGCGGGTGTGTGCAATATCAAGTGGATATACCACGATCAGTGCTGTACAACCGGCGCCAGCCCCAGCGACAAAGTTAGCGGATGCTCCGGACAAGAAATTGTTTCCGCTTGAGTTTCCACTTCTTAATATGTTTCTGTATAGATCCTGTAGATGAAAACAAATCTATCAACACTCTGTATAGACTGTATCATGACAGAACAACCCCAAGATGAAAACACATAAATAGACTGACAAACCAACGTCTCAGCTTTGGAAATGTAACTTCCTTCTGAATTTTGCATGATGATATAATTAAACTACTAATGAAGCTGTGTCGAGCTTTTATATGAAAAATCGCACATAAGGAAATCCAAATTCTGAGAGGGAAAACGTCGAGGTTAACTGGCCGTACTTACGATCTTTCGGGCCAGACATGGTTGACATGCAATAAAATAAGGGGCCAAAGAAGGACAAGTGAGCAAAACAACAGTGTACAAATAGTTGACAGTTATCTGGTAATTTAGCTAACCGAGGTGCTTCCATATAATTTAGCCGGGTCATGTTTTCTTGAAGTTATGCCCTTAAATAACCCCCAACTAAATCTCACATAATCATTAGAACATGAAAAGGCCAATTAAACCGCGTTTCTTGCCAACAACCCCCTCCTAATTCTGTTGTCCTCAGAACTTTCTTAGTTACAAATTCCAAAATTCCACATTGAATTCAATAGTTCTATTAATCATGCATTGTCATGTACGCCCTCCGGTCCCATTTATAGAACATTTGAAAAATTTCACTTGGTTTTATTTATAAGTAATGACACAATTTTTAAATAATATTTAAAAAGTATTTTCAAAATTACTCTTCATAAAAAAAAAAAGGTAACATGAAATATGTGGAGACGAAAACAAAACTACAATCATGTAAAGGACAAAACCAGGATTCAATGAAAAACTAACGAGCAAGAGATATGTCATCTAATGAAATAAGATTGTGGAAGGTAATTTTGGTTGTTGCAAGCATACAGTTGCTAACTACGGGAAACATGTAAAGTGAAAAGAGTAACACCTCATAGGGTGAGTAAAATTGCAAATACAGACAATATAAAACATTGTGAATGAAGCTCAAAGGCTCCGATCAAAAATTGTTTTCTATAATATCCTAGAAATTCAAACCTAAATTGATTTACTTGCAATTATATGGATACCCATGGACTACAGCAGACAATTTCAGCAATCCAGTGCCCGAAAATATGAATTTTTTTCTCTTTCTTCTTCCAGCAGCCCAAGTTGTTCAATAAAGGGAGATGTGAGAAAACGATGCCATGTGAATGAACAACACATGGATCCATTTCCTGTATACTTCTAACGTCACAACAAATGAACAATGTCTTACTCGAGTGAATTATATTCAAAATTTAACATATCTAGCCAAGAGGCCATTCAAGACTAAAGCCCCATATAAGGGCTGCCGGAAATACCGTCCTGGAATTAAAGCCCTAGGTGGGCGCATTATCCAGATATGGCATTTACAAGATGAACATGTCCCAACGGTCAAGAAGTCCCGTTCTTGGAAGCCCAAGAAGAAAATATTAAAGGCAAAATACCCAGGATAACTTGTAATTCTTCAGAATCCCGGATGATATCTGCCAATCAAAGCTTCTAGAACCATTGGATACAATATTAATCGCAGACTCAAAGCAGACGAGAGTGAGCAATAAACAACAAATGGTGGCAAACTCCCCTAGAGTTTGATCAGCAACAGGACACCACCTCCCATTTTAAAACCATCAGTTCAACTCTCAAATGGTAGCTCAGACCCAATAACAGTGACAAGGTCTCAAATCAAAACTCATCACTGAACAAGAAATGCAAGAACCCGACCTCAGCGAGTGGGAGAATCCGCTACGTAATAACGAGCACGGCAACAAGAAGAAATCAACCAATGAATTGCAATTAATGCAAGAAAGCCCCAGACAAAATAAATACATGCAACGTTTTCCTTTACATTTACTCCAAGCAGCAAAGAAGAGGGAAAGATATTTACAAAGAGGAGAAATATGAAGCAGACCTTGAGCGAGAAATTGAGTGCGACAGAAGGATAATAGCGAAGAACACCGCTGCCATTGCCTCTCCACAAGGAGAGAAAGCCTTCTTCTTTGACAGTACGGACTACACAATCCAGCATGCCCTTGAATTTCCGACGTCCATTGGCAACAATAGCCATATTGCTTTCTTGGGTCTGCAACAAAAGCTTCGCCCTCTCAATTGGAGCCACGACGGTGTGGACCAGCCCACCGACGAACGCTCCGGCCATCAGATCACGGTTGAAGCTCGTAAGCCAATAATTTGGACTCACTGATTCTTGTCTTGATTTTGATCTTCTTTGTTCTGCGTCACCATCATCTGGAGTCATGGTTCGATTCACTGATTCCGTGTGGCTCCTCCGTTTTCCCCCGTTCTCTAGTGCTATCTTACATGGAGCGGCGGCTCCAATGCTTGCTTAAAGAGGAAGGCCCCAGATTCTTTGGTCAAATTAGTGCAAGACCAGAGCCAATCAATCGATGGGGTTTCAGGTGTGTAGCTCCAGAATTAAGAAACCAGACTCGTCCGGCTCCAGATATTTAATTTCAAACCAGATGAATTGAAAGCGTTGGAATTTGGATTGAAGAATCAAGCATCGATAAAAGGCGTTAACCCCGACCCACCCACTGTTCTGTCCGACCCGGATTCCGATCCATGGAATATGGATATTTCAATTATTATCCTTTTCTTTTCTACAGTAGCTCTTTGTGGATTTAAACGCTATGAAATTGGTATGGTTGAATTCTCGCAATTTTTTAATATTTTTTTATTATGAAATAAAAAATTTCCTTTCTCTTTCTTAGGAAGAAAACTTTGTAATATTTCATCGATCTCAATTTTTTAAAAATTTAAATTCACTCTTTAATCTTCCCTATTCAAGACTTCCTGTATTTACATCCACCACTCCTCGTTTCTAGTGTCTTCCTTTTCTGGTTTTCCTTGTTACCTTTGCATGCTGTAAATCATAAAGCCATTTTCATGGGAACATATAATTTTTTTAATTAATATCCAAAATCATTACAAAATTTACTTGATGAAACCTACCATTTTCTAGCGAACATCTCAAGCCGTTCACTTGAGGGGATTATGTTGCTTCACATCTTAAGAAATTTCGACTATCAAACATCAATGAAGTTTCCTTTAAAAAAAAAAACAGAGCGAGTAAAAAATCAAAACAAGTGTCAAAAATTGATCTGATTCTAAGAAAAAGAAAAATCACAACTTTTTAGCTTACCTGTGAAGCAGTGATTCCTGAAACTTGAAGAATTGATTTACTCACGAACTTCTCTCCAGAAATACAACAACTTGCTTCTTACAAGGTTTCTTTACCTCTTCAATTGGCCACTGTATCAATTGCTTTCTGCTTTGATCAAGCCAATCTTGTCTGGGAATGGACTGCCTAGCCAAAAATCAACATCTACATGCTTAACCAAGGTATATCTTTGGAGATAGACTAGCCCATCTGTTTCCTGTATCATATGGTGGACTCATTCACCCATCCCAATAGATCTTCTTGTTCTTGGCACAGTCAAAGAATGTCTCTAAAGCAGGGAATTTCCATATTCGTACCTCAGATCCAAGCTAGTTTCGATAAACTTGGTATAAGGAATGAAAGCTGAAACTGCTTCGATCCGAGAGATATTAATCTATAAAATAGTAGTTTGGGATTCTCTACAAGGCATAAGCATTCTAGGGGGGCCCAGTTACTGTGCGGAGGAAAATGGAATATTTTTGTAAAAGCAAAAAAAAATATTTATACAAGGTTAATGAGTATTCTAAACTTATAGAAAAAGCATCATGAACCTTGAACTCATAAAATATATAAAATAAATCTTAAAATTTTAAATCCCAAGAAAATTACTCTTACCATGAACTTATAGATAGCATTGTTAGTTGTTGACTTTGTGGGGTTCAATTAAATGCTGATGTGATAGCCTCCCACTAATGTGTCATCGATTAGTGAGCATTACAGGCCTTAAAGCGTAAGTGACTTCCAAGACTCTAAAGTTTGAAATTTACGATAAATTACCTCTATTATTTATGCGTAGGACATTGATTGTTATGTAGACTAAATTATTCTCAGTGTGATCCTCTACGGCGAATGACCCATAATTTTGTGAAATGATATTTTTTTGCCCCCTTTTTTGTAATATTTTTTAAATAATTAATATCTCATACTTTATATACTTTATAACTATGATTTAATCTTATTTTAAATAATGTTTAGTTATTTAATAGTAAAAATTTAGGCTCCCATTTAAAAATAAATTTAAGTATTAGAGAATTTTAATAATAAGGTAATGCGAATTTGAAATCTATTGATGAAATCATCAACTTTTATATCCATTGTTTATAAAATCCTCCGACATTTTAAATTCTTTTTAATTGGGATCTCAATTTTTTACCATTAAATAAATAAATATTATTTAAAATAAGACTAAATCAGAGTTATAAAGTACATAGAAGCATATGATACTAATTGTTTGGAAAATATTACAAAAAAAGGCTAAAAATGTCATTTTATAAATTTTTTGGTTGTTTGTCCTGAAAAACCAAGTTGAGACTAATTTGATTTACATAACAATTAACGTTTTACACATAAACAATAGGGGTAGTTTATTTTAAATTTCAAAGGCTATGGTCTTGGATGCTACTTGGACAATAGTTTAGAATATGTGGTGCTCATTAACTAACAACACATCAATAAGGAACTGCTGCATCAATATTTAACTAGACCCGACAAAGTCAACAATTAATGGTGATACCTATTAGTTAACAATGGGGTATAATTTACTATGAATTTATAAGTTTAGAGTCTATTTTATACATTTTTAAAGTTTAAGATCCATAATGCTTTTTGTGCAATAATTTAAGGTTTATAATGCTCATTAATCCATTTATATAATTTTCTATTGTAATACTCCCTCTAATCCTATTTATAGAGTAAATAATTTTTTTTTATTTTATGTGTAAATCATGTCATTAAATTTTTAATATAAATTTCTTCTTTTACTCTCCATTAAATGTTAGAAAGGAAAAATATGTTGTTAAACTATATATATTTAATAGGGACAAAAGTAAAACTTACTCCCTCCATTTAAAAATGTAAGACATTTTTTAAGAAGTTGCATGTTAAAAAATGTAAGGCATTTTTAGTCTTTTGAAATGTAATCATTGCCTTTTTTTTAAGTGCCCCTATTAATAATAATTTTATATTTATTATATATTGTTTAATATGAATAAATATAAAAAGATAAAGTTAGTTTGAAAGTAAATAAGTACTTTATTAAAAAGTAGAATTCAATTAAAAATATTTTATATTTTTGTTGAGGGAGTATTGAATTTTAAGATAACATTAATAAATTTTAAATTTTTTTAAATTCTGATAAAATATAAGGAGAGTAACTTATAATGATGATGATGATGATGATAGGTGTGATGGTGTGAGTGTCCGTGTGCGTGTAGTCAACTTTTGTGTTTAATGTAATTCTTCTCATGTTGAATTTGTCCTGTAAATTATTGATGACATGTATTCGTCAACATTGATAGCAATATTTCTCAACCACTAATAAACTCAACCAACTTATTGAATATGATACTCTCTCCATATTAAATTATAAAATATTTTTAAAAGTATTTTTTTGTCTCAAAATAGAAAAAAATTTAAATAAATTAAAATTTCATTAAATACACTAATTTTAATATTATCTTTTCTCTTTTTATAATTAATTTTCATTCATTATCTTTTCAATATATTAAATAATAAGTATTTTTAAAAATTTATATTTTTGTTTTGAAAAAAAGATTGTTAAGTGTATTTAATAAGATTTATTAATATATAAAATTTTATCTAAAAGTATTTTATAATGAAGGCAGGGGTGAAAAAAGACCACTGGCCATTAAATATTAAATAGGCATGGACTATTTATAAAAATAATAAATAAGTTTAGCTAGTTTAAGCTAGACATTTTGTCAAACAAATCAAGCTCGACCATGCCAATTAATACAGCATATAGACTTGCTTATATTTATATAAGGAAGGGAATGATAATAGTTAACTAATACAGCATAAAAATGAAGATTTCTCCATTTTATTAGTTTAATTTTCAATATATAAAAATACAATTTTAAAATAAAATAAAACAATTCACATTAATTATGTTGGACTCGGGGCTAGTAAGAGCAGTATCATTTTTTGTGAGAAGTGAATGGTATATCCTTTACCAATAGCAAAATTTAATTTAATATTGTATTGAACCATATAAATTAGGTTTTATTAGATATGCATGAATTGAGATTTGAAATCCAACTATTTGTTTAAATAATAATGAAACTCCTGCCATATATGACAACTTGATTCCCTAAAAATATCAAACAACAAATTAAATATATAAAAGATTGAACTAAGTAAATGATTTTAGTACAAATTTAGAAAAAAATTAAAAAAAATAGAATAAATGATTTCAACAAAAATATAAGAATTAATCAATTTTAAATAAAAGTCTCGATATAAAATAATCATTTATAATACTTAAATTATTCTAAATTCTAAATCCTCTCATATTATACATTCTTTTCCTTTTGACAAATTCTTCATCCTATGCCCTCACCAAGATTTAGGTGACTATCATTTTTCTCTCCTTCTTTCTTCATCTTCTATTGTCTTTCTCCTTATTTGTGGGTTCAAAACTAACATATCAATGAGTCAAACTAAAACTTATTCTATATTTATACAAAGCATCACAAAGTTGAGGGGGGACAACCGCCCACCCTTAAATGTATGTAAATTCACCACTGAGTCAAGCCATAAGTCCTCCATAAGCTTTTAAGCTTTTAACCTATTCTCATCTCTAATAAAGACATTAGTATTTTACTTTTTAATTTAAGATCGCATTATTCTATATAATATATATCCTAATTAAAAAGGTTGTTTTAACTAATTGTCTAGAAATATAAAAATTTGATCAAAACAAGAAATTACATTTTAAAATTAACAAGCATAAGAAAATAAATATAAAAGATATACATTTTCATGTAAGTCCAAAATGGGTAAGGATAGGCTCGTAGGCGTGTGGTAAGGTTTGTTAAGTATTGTGTGGAAGGGTATATACCGGCGAATATGAGCCACTCGTTACCTGCCCATTTATGGTTAAACAGGTGGCCCCTACTTGTATCTGCTTGTACCTATTTGCACCCATTTTAAAACATGTGCAAGCAGGTATAGGTGGGTATGAGTCTGGGAAGCACGGATACGTGCAAAATCTCAGCGTGTCCATGTTGAAGGTATCTAACACGAACACGTGTTCAGGATGCGAAAATACCGCATCCACTTCTCTAGCTTTAGTCAGACACGAGCTAAGACGGGCAAACACGAGCGGTGCCTGGAATTCAACATTTTGGCTTGTTTTTTTTTCTCATTCCTAAAAATCGGTGAACTAAGCTTTGTCTAGTTCAATTAATCGTATTCTCTTTCTTGCGTAAGCTTCGCTCTATCTCTTCATCATCTCTGAGCATCGTCCTTCTTTAATATTTAGTCACGAGTCACAACTCATGGTGCTCTGTCTCACTCGAGGTCTGAGCTCTATCACTTTAGTCACTAACTCTGGATTCACGGTGCTTCTTCTCAAGGCGCTCTGTGTCTTTAGCAATTCAGCCTGTGATTCCATCGCCTTGTCTCTCTGAGTTTGAGGTAAATTCTTCTTCATCTTCTTCTTCAGTGCTCTGTCACATTTGGCGTCCCCCGATTCCCATATATTCAAGACTTCAAGTTCCCACTCCTTGATGTGCTAGATTCTGGATTCAAGTATTGCAACTACCAGGCTGTTAAAAATATTTTTTTAAGCTCTTATTGACGGTTAAATCTGCTACTTAGGCTAGGAAGCACGGATATGATATTTGTTCTTGAGTGTTGATTTATTGGACATATTGAAATTGTACTTTTTAACTTTAAACATGAAATTATAAAATTAAAAATATGTATATATCTAACTATTAAATATTTAATATTTAATTATTTATATAGCCGTACTCGTATTTTAAAATTTTTGAAAATTGTCATATTCGAGTATCATAGCGTATCCGATACTCGTACACACATCGGTGCTTCTTAGGTATGGGTAGGTCTAAGCCACCTATTTAACGAGCAACACTTGCTTTCTTTAAGAAAAATCAATAAGAAATTTTCATCCCATTCTATTTTAACATAAGCAACATCAAATATTTTAAAAGTACAAAAGACCAAAGCCAATTGTATCAAATTTGTTCATGCTTCGAATCTGTTTAAAATGCCAACAAGACACTGTCAACAACAGGCCCTGAAACTAAAATGCAAAAACGTGACTTTTGATCCAATTATATCGAATATGTTCATGCTTTGAATCTGGTCTCTCTTAATCTCTTTTAAACCATCCTTTTGTAATCATAATAAGTAATATAAGATAAAATTTAAAAGAGTAGAAGATGGGGGGAGTAAGGGTAATAACCTGAGATTCTAAGATAAGAATAAGGTAGGCTAGTGCAAGTCCGATGGTGGAGCTGTAGAGGTGGAGGGAGCCAAGGAGGAGCTATTCAACTACGTGCAAGTGCGACGGTGCGTGCGTGCGTCTGCTACAACCGATGTCGACGACGGACGTGGAGCGTGCAAAAAGGCGACGGATGATGCTAAAGCTGAAAATGGTGATCAACGAATAAGGAATGGGGATAGAATCTGGTCCCTCAAACTCACAGTCTCGCTCGACTCAGGAGAAATTGAACATGAGCAGAGTGATGGCCGAAGGCGGCAGGGGCAACTGGCGAGAGGCGAAGGTGAACGAAGGAGAAGGCGAGTGGAGGAAGTTCTCAGCTTATCTCCTCACTTCCGCAGGGCAAGGGGCAGCCAACACAGGTTAGGGCACGAGACACTTTCTGGGTTTGAGGCTTCAATTTTTTTCCAGTAACAACCCAGTACTCCCGCGACCACTTTGAAAACTTGAGAGTTGAGAAGGCTTTCTTTTTTAAATGAATAAATAAGTATAAACGGGCGGGCATGGATCACTCCGGATATATACTTGCTTTTACTTGTTTTTCTCCCTTTGAGAATAGTAGGGGTTGACCCGTTTTAGAACGGTACGGCCGAGTTCACGGGTAGAATGCACACCTAGACAGGTTTAGGGGAAAAAGTGATTTAAAAAAAAAAAATTGTGGGCCCAGAATGAGGAATTGATGGCTAAAATGAAAACGAAATCCCGAAGGAGCAGGGGTTAAGTATAAGTAGAGACGTTTCAGGGCATGAAAAGCCTAACGAGATACGGATCGTGTGAGCCCAGAGCGCGGCAGCGTTCACACAAGTCAGAGTGGAGCAGGAGGACCATATACCAGAAACGCTGTTTGGGTAAAACTTTGTTCTAATTTCGGAATCAAGAATCAAGATAGATATTTCATTTTCCTCAGCTCCTTCCTCTATAGTTTTACTCGACTCGTGATTGATACTCAAACCTTACGGCTTGGTTTAGGACCAACTCACATTTTTTGGTGTCTAGCCGAGATATGGCTTGTAGGCATTTGATTTCGCCGGTCAGTCTATGAATCTTGATACCACCATATATGAGTTCATCAAGTGTTGAATGTTTTTTAATGTAGCAGAGCATTGTTCAATTATTGTTAGTCAATGCTCGCCTCAGATTTATGATTCATATTTTTTTTTTTTGAGATGATTGCCAGTATTCATTTTTTAAGTAGGCTTTATAATTCATCTTTACAGGTTTCACGGTATCAATCAGAATATGGACAGATTAAAAGTTTGGTCGTCAGAACCTATGTATCTGTTAGTAAGTTTGAAGGTCGAGCAGGTGCGTGATATTCTGTCCCTGTTATGCATACAAGTCTGATAATTAAGATATTAAATCGATGCCATTTATTCACCAAAAAGTAATTTACTTTATTTGTCACCATATGCATTGATCCTTCTTTATAATGTGGCCTTTTTCGCAAACTACACTGATCTGGGAATATTCTTTGAAAGTTCTTTGTGATGTATAGATCTCTAGCAGTTTGTTTAAAGATTTAAAATTAATCGCACCAATTTTGTCTAAGTATCTTGGAATAAACACACACACTTCTTGTTTCGCTAACTTTAAAATTTTTACAGTAAATAGGTTTTTGTACACTCAGGAGAGATTACGATCCAGCTATCTAGGCCATCTGGCTCGTCGAGTGCGTGATGCAGATGAAGCCAGTGACCTTGCTCGTCTTAAAGAACTTTACCATCAAAATGACCCTGAAGCTGTGATTAGATTCTTTGAAAAACAGCCATCGCTGCATGCCAATCAGTCGGCACTTTCTGAATATATTAAAGCGTTGGTGAAAGTTGATCGGCTGGATGAAAGTGAATTATTGAAGACATTGCGGAGAGGTAGCTTTTTGGCCAGGCCACTTTTGTTCTATTCGACACTTTGTCTGCATATTCTAATGCTCGCTCCTATTGACTTAATCTACTCGTCAATATTGGTTTACTGACCGGTTAACCTTGCTCAAGGAAAATGGAATTTCTTAAGCTAGTAACCAAAGATATGTTTATCTTTCTTTTGCCTTACTTGAGAATGGTCAAATTGCCTGCTTCTGCTAAACAAAGTCTTATAATTCAAAACTCAGTCATATGCATGCATGGTGTTGGAATTTCAAGTAGAAAGTTGGGTGCTTCTGAAGGAAGGAATGGATTTTTCTTGGCCGTCTCAAAAGGAAAAAGTCCCAAGACATAAATTTATTTGCAATTAATTGAGCTTGTGGATAAACTTGAAAAATCTTAATTTTTTTATATAAAAATTGAAATTGGCTCATAAAAAGAAAAAAATAAAATAATATTTAATAATTCGGGTTTAATCGAATAAGTTTAAAAGTCTAAGGTGTTAAGACTAGGTTTAGTTATATGGGTTTTTTTATATGTTTGGACATTTTAAGCTTAAGCTAAATAAGTCATGCCCACTTGAATTACCAACTTTACTTTTGATACTCTCCTTTTTGCTTCGATGTAATGGATTTGAGGTTGCGTCCAAGTGGCATGTTTTTTATGTTGCTTCATCCGAGATATTAGGAGGCACAGAACCTCACAATTATGGGTGTTATTTTATGCCACAAATAATTCAGGGATCTCACATCTTGCACTTTAAGTGTTGCTCAAATTTAAAAAATACTAATACTCTTTTTTATCTGAAATAAAATACTAGTAATATTGTTTCTATGACATTTTTTTTATATGGTAATATGAATGAGTCATATTTGAGCATTGTTGAGTCTAAGTAGAGTAGCTTTCCTAAAGATGTTTTCTGTATTCACACGGACTCAAAGTTTGTCAAATCAAATGCTTGAATTTAAAATGTTTGGCCAGCTATGTTTTCCACTACAATCTTTAGTTGTTTTTGAGTTTGCAAGCCTCAAATTCGGCGTTTCAATTACATGCTTGTATGAAGAATGTTATTTCTCGTCATTCTTTGATAACTATTTGGAATACTATATCTTTAGCAGAACTTTTGTGAACTAGATGTTATAGCCACATATCTATGGATTTGTAGGTATTTCTAATTCAGTGAGTGAGGGTGATAGTATCGGTGGCCTTGCTGCTTTAAAAAATGTTGGGAAGGCCACAAAAGAAGGAATTCTTGGAACTTCAAGAGCTCCAATCCATATGGTGGCTGCAGAAGGTGGAAATTTCAAACAGCAGTTGTGGCGCACATTTAGGTCCATTGCTATGGTCTTTCTACTGATTTCTGGTGTGGGAGCACTTGTTGAGAATAAGGGAATCAGTAAAGGTAATACCTTGTCTTTGTAACTTTTTGGATCCTAAAGACCATGTAAGGATTCTAAGTTTTTTGGTTTGCTCGCTCATTTTCTCAGGACTTGGTATGAATGAAGAAATGCGACCTATCATGGATTCAAGTGCAAAATTTAGTGATGTAAAAGGTGTTGATGAGGCAAAAGCAGAGTTGGAAGAAATTGTTCACTACCTCCGAGATCCTAAGGTAGACAACTCTGGTATAAGTCCTTTCTCTCTGGGATGCCTCACACTCAAACTTGCATGATTTTCACATGTTTTACTGAGATTGTGATGGTTGACTTTTATTCAAAATACTGCATTTGGGAATCCAGACATTAATTATGAAAAATTATTCTCAAGATGTCACTGATAAAGTGATGTTGTGCTGAGATGAAACGTGCTCTTCAATAAAGAAGAAAACAGCAAATATTATATTCTATGCCTCTGAATCTAACTGTTCTAGTCCAGTTTTTTGAACTATGCTATCGTATGACTCATTATGATTCATGTCCTGTGCTGTGGATTTAATGTTTTGTAGTTTTATTTTATATGCTGCTTTCCTGATCATGTGTACATACCCATGTAATTCATCACCACATTTGAATGACTCCATTTCGTTGCGGCAGCGCTTTACTCGTCTCGGAGGAAAGCTGCCAAAAGGTGTTTTACTCATTGGCCCTTCTGGGACTGGAAAAACAATGTTGGCAAGAGCTGTAGCTGGAGAGGCGAAGGTTCCTTTCTTCTATTGTGGTGGAAGTGAATTTGATGAGATGTTTGTTGGCATTGGAGCACGAAGAGTTAGGGATCTTTTTGCTGCTGCAAAAAAGCAGTCACCCTGTATAATTTTCATTGATGAAATAGATGCTATCGGAGGAAAGCGAAATCAAGAGTACCAGATGCACATGAGGATGACATTGAATCAATTGCTTGTTGAACTAGATGGATTCAAGCAAAATGAAGGCATTATTGTGGTTGCAGCTACTAATTTTCCTCAATCACTGGATAAGGCTTTGGTGAGACCCGGGAGGTTTGATCGCCATGTTGTTGTTCCTCTTCCAGATATAGAAGGAAGGCGGCAGATTCTTGAATCCTACACGTCCAAGGTACAGTTTTCTCTTCTTGTGAAGGATCAATCATTTTAGCTTGGGTTGGATGGCTTATTGTCTTGCACTCCGGCAGTGCAAACTTCTGGAATGCCTTTTTATTTTTTGAAGTTATGATTGAGTGTATCCCTTTGATACTTGTGGGTATGAGAGATTGCACTTAAAAAATTACACTATCTTTATAGTAAGTTTAAACTTGTTAACGTTAATTGCAATGGCATGTGGGATTTTCATCACATGTAAAATTTATGATCCTGGGCCAAGTAAGAGTTGATAAAGTTGTCTCCTATTATCAGTTTTATATTATGTGAGCTGACATATTTTAATATAAAATTCACCTATTTGCAATTGCAATGCCTTGTAACAGGTTCTGAAGGCTGATGATGTTGATATAATGACCATTGCAAGAGGGACACCTTATTTTTCTGGTGCGGAGCTTGCTAACTTGGTGAACATTGCTGCTGTCAAGGCTGCGATGGATGGTGCTAAAGCTGTGAGCATGACTGACCTTGAGTATGCGAAGGACAAAATTTTGATGGGAAGTGAACGCAAGTCAGCTGTCATAACTGAGGAATCAAGAAAGTTGACTGCTTTCCATGAGGGTGGTCATGCTCTTGTGGCTATTCATACTGATGGGGCACTTCCAGTTCACAAGGCAACGATTGTCCCAAGAGGAATGGCTCTTGGCATGGTGACTCAATTGCCTGACAAGGATGAGACCAGTCTCTCCCGCAAGCAGATGCTTGCCCGCCTCGATGTTTGCATGGGTGGTCGGGTTGCAGAAGAGCTAATATTTGGAGAAAATGAAGTAAGTTCCGGTGCTCAGAGTGATCTGAAAGCAGCAACTAATCTGGCCAGGGAAATGATTACTAAATACGGTATGAGCAAAGAGGTGGGACTTGTTGTTCACAATTACAATGACGATGGCAGAAGCATGAGCTCAGAAACTAGGCTTCTTATTGAGAGGGAGGTCAAGCTACTTCTGGAGAGAGCTTACAACAATGCAAAAACTATTCTAACAACTCACGATAAGGAGCTTCATGCCCTCGCAAATGCTCTACTCGAACACGAGACTCTTACCGGAAGTCAAATAAATGCCTTGCTTGACAAAGTAAGGTCTAAGCAGCAAACCACAGCCTCCCAGGATTAAGCACAGAATAATTCACAATCACCTAACCCGGCAACATCTCTTTGGCAAAGCAACTATAAGAGGCTTAGAGCGTCAAATATTTTCGGTTTGACTCTGGTCTTCGAAGTGTTCTTTTTCCCCCTAGCATCTAGAGTAGTCTTTCAAAGTAGTGCCAAACGGGAGCAAGGGTTTGTTGAGATAATAATTACACATTTTAATAAACTAGTTTTTGTTCAATAATATAATCATACAATGGAAAGGTCGAAATGTTATAGAAAAATCAAGAGTGCAGTATTGCAAAGGGGGAAAAAGGTAATACAATATCCTATGTAATTATTGTAAGGAGAATGATAGATAAGTTTTATGAAGATCAATTAATTTAAATGAGATTCCAAGTATAAGTTCATTTTATAATTTTATTGTGATGAATTTGTAACTTATTTTTTAAATTTTAATATAATTAAAAAATAAATAAGTTTATTTTTTTTGTTAAAATTTAAAACATAAGTTGTAAATTTAATACTATAAAATTGTAAAAATGAGAATCAAATTTATAAATTCTTAGAATTTGACACTTGAGATTTAATTTAAATTAATTGATGACCTCTCTATCAATCTCCCATTATTATAAGTCGAAATAATTTTTATGGTACACCTGATAAACTATTCTCCTCTGTAGTATAATAGTAGATTTATATTTGTTAAAATGATTGCCCAACTTTGAATATAATATAAAAAATGTCATATTATATATATATATATATTATATATATATATATATGTGTGCGGACTCTCATGTCAGTTTGATACGTTACAATGTTTATATTTGTATTAATTTTTTATGAAAATTTTATGTGTAAAAATTATTTAAAAGATATGATCAAATAATATAGATCTTGAGTTATAAAATAGAAAAATTAACTATTTAATCTTTGAAGTTTTAACTTACTTAAAACTTGATCCTTCAATTATGACTTAGTATAACTTGATCCTTAAACTTTTAACTCATATATAATTCAGTTTCAAAATTTTTAATCATTAATAATTATATCATGATCCATGACTCATCATAAGTCAACACTAAGTCATCCTACGTGATAAAAGATGTCAATAACACTATTTCCAAATCAGTTCCATGAGGATTTTATTTTCATATGTTTTTTATTTTTATTTTTGTCTCTAGTTCCTTTTTTTCTCCCAAATATCTATCCATTATCCTAACTTCCCCTTAATTTATTCATAACTTAAAATTTAAAAATAATAATTTAATTATTTTGTGTAACTTTATGTCTCCAAAAATCTGTCCATTATCCTAAATTCCCAACTTTTTATGCATAAATTTTAATTTTAAAAATCTTGCAAAATTACTTATAATTTTAAATTTCAATTTTAAAAATGTTGTGAAATTGTTCATAATAAGCAAATTTGGTGCAACTTTCCTACTCTCAAAATTCTCTTCATTATCCTAACTTCCCAACTTGTTGTCTATATTAAAAGTCTCGAGAAAATTTTGATTAAAAAAACAAATTTCATGTAATTTCTTTGACTAATTGTTATGGAGCACTCTTTTACTATGTAGAACATTTTCTCAATAATATTATTAAGACATCAATTAATTGTTCCTTTTTAAATTCAAATTTCCTTCCTTAGTTTCTTTTATATTCATATTAAACTAGTCAGAGATTGACAATCTCAATGATCATGGTTGTGAACAAGAAGAAGATTTTAACATCTAAAAGCAAAATCACTAGTCCTGCAGCTAATTGCCTGTCACTCTACCTATCTTGTCATTGTGTTTGGGGTACCCATTGATGATAGTAATTTGGCAAGACAATAAAAATTAATGCTTTGTTTTCAAAATTATTCCGCTTTCTTTTTTTTTTTTGGATTTTCATAATCATCAGAGGGTGAATGCTTTGCTATTCTCTTTTCACATATTATTGAGGCACTTAATTTTTACAAGAAGAATACTAGAGGTGAAAAGTTTTTTTTTTTGGATATGACATAGATATACCGTCCATACTTCATGTTCATCTTATTTTAAGCACAAGCATGCATGTTTGTTCTCATTAGCAAATGATGTGGATAATATAATATTTAATTGATCAAGCCTATATTCATATCCTTGGCAGATTCATTAATAAATAGGTGTTCATTGGGGCCACACTATGGGTAACAAATTAATAATTTAATGGTTTTTTAAGTCTTACTATAGAGAAAGAATTTCAAGAATGATGAAGTGAGATTAGATCATATATTTGTGAAGTATATATTATTCTCTCCTATCATGAAGATTAGATTCTCTTCATGGCTTTTTTTTTTTGTTAGATTAAAATTTGTCATCAATTTTAAATTTATTTTGAAGATTGCTTTAAATTTAATTCATCTTAACTATACTGTAAGTATAATTACAAAAAATCTACATAAAAATGTCATGAGCATCCCAAATTATTTTATTTTAAAGTTAATAGAAAAACGTTACTCTAATCCTACGTTTCACTTCGTTTATGGCGTGCTTTTATTTTGTTATGCTATTTGAAACTATTTTATTGTGGTTTACTGGTTTTAACTGCATTGATGATAAATTTTAACGTCTGCTATATTTTTAAATCAGTTCTTCAACTTTATTAAGAATTACTTATATATTCCCTGTATACATATAGTAATGGTAATATACCATGTATCTATGCTTAAATAAACATTATTGCGAAGATGATATAATTATAACATCACATACAACGCATCATGGGTGTATATAAAAATATAATATTATATTTAACTTTAATTTAAATATGTTATACGTAAATATTATGTATGAATATTAGGTGAGAATATAATTTTTCAATAAAACAAGTGAAATCTCTCGAGTATATATGTTTGTGTGTATCTATACATGTATGAATACGTGTAACTAAAATTAATTTAAATAATCAAACCCTTTAACATGAATGAAATAATAATTAAAATTAATTTTTGTAAATCATTTAAATAGTACTAATCAATTACATATTTAATTTAAATTTAAATTAATATGTAAGAATAAAGATAACTTTAATTTTGCATTTATTTTAATTTAAAAAATACAAAGTTTTGATCCTGACTTAAATCTTATTATTTATTTAAACTATTGAAACCAAGGAAAGGCAGCTTGAAGGTAAGGCCAAACAAAGGAAAGATAAAAACAAGCAAATGATATTGTGCCAATTTAAAAAAAAGCACGGGAATTTTAAATGCACGCACGTACATTTCTTAGCCAAGAACTAAGCAAGACTGTTCCAATCATGGGTTTATATACCTATTTATGAACAACCAACGAGTGTGAGACTCTACTCGTGAACATTTTTCACAGGAACATGTGAGCCAAGCCAAAGTGCTATATATGTGCTATTGATCTTTTTTTTTTTTACTTTGTTTTGTGTAATTTTTCTCCTGTGCCCAATGTTTTACCTTTTAGCATGGGACGACATCATTCTATATAACATGCATGCTAATTGGAAAACTTTGTGGAGAGATTGTTTTGGCCAATTCTCTACTCTCTAAAGAGGCTATTCATTAATAATTAGAATAAAAATTATACGTTGAAACTCACAACCATGGCTGCATAATAAAGGAAATTAAAAAATAATGAAACAAAGGCATTTTCACGGGACACAGGATGACAAAATGATAATGAAATGCATAAGGGAAAAGGGCAAGGAGGATATTTCAGGGCACGAAAATTATTGCGGGGTGTATGAACTCAAAGCTGAAAGCCTTCACAGGTCAAAATGGTGTATCACAACACTCCAAATACATCCTTTCTATACTATTAATAGATCAAGGAGCTTGTTATGCGATGATAGACAGTGTAAGAATATGTTTGGATATTGTAATCTAAAATGAGATTTAAATGGTCTAAATTGTAGCTGGGGTCACAAAAACAAGTGAAGATGTGTTCGGATAAAAAAAAAATGGAAAGAGTTTCTCAGACCAAAAACTCATTTAGATCAAAACTCTCCTGATGACCTCATTCTTATCATCTAGTGAATTAAAGACTCCACTGCACCCCTCTCTTTTGTTTCAGGCAAGTAAGTCGTTGTTCTTGTCTTTACCATTGCCACTGTCTCTATCCGTAGAGGTTGTTTGGGTTCCGTTGAAGTTGACATTGTCTTTTGTTCATCTGTCACTAGTGTTTCCCTTAATCTTTACCTAAAAATAAGTTTTGATGAAAAATAATTGAATTATCCCTAAAGTTAACTTAAAATAACAAGTGTTTACCTTTTACAAAATACATGAAACTAATTACTCTCCCACTTTCACACAAACAAGGCAATTTCATGAATTGCAAAAAGTGGGAGAGTAATTAAAATTTAAGTGAACACGTATGACATAAACAATATGGAAATCACATTTCATGATGCATGATTCAGGGATTCCAACCAAATCTCCTAAACACCTGTGATTGAACACATGGTCTATCAACACGATTGGGTTTGGTCTACGTGATTAGATTGACTTAAGCTTGCCAAATGGGATAGGTAATCTGCCCAAAGTTCATTTCCTTGTCCAAACCATGGTTTTTCCATTTACAAATAATTGAGGTGTCATGTGCCTAACTACCACCACATGTGGTGAGTAAGAACTTCACACGTCTAACTACTACCACATGTTATAAGTGATGACTTACTATAGGTATAATTGAACACCACGGCCACATGTTGTTTTGAGAGTTATCATATGATTTTAATTATACTCCACCTAATGTGAACATCTTACCCTTACATGCACGATCATGAAACCACATGTTCCATGATCCACATCATGATCAGGTAACCACCCATTGCATTGATCGATATCAAATATACGCACCAACCATGCTTGCACACAATTAATATAAATCAATGTAAAGCTATTCTAACACAAGTTCATAAACTATAGTCATGCTTTCACACATACATACACGTGCAATTAGTTATATTTAGTGAAATCCTTGTTTTTTAAACCAATTTCCTACTTCACATGAGCTTTAAAACCACCCATGCATCCACATTCTTATTTACAATTATATTTACATAATTGCTCGTTTAAAAATCCTCATATATGCTTTAACAAGTTCATACATAGAGTAAGTTATCCAATTACTTTAATCATTTATTACAAAAGGGGGCTACCCGTAGCACTCCAACTGTCTCTTCAACCTTAAAGAGATCTTAAATGATAGTAACTTACAATATCAAGCACTATATGTCAATTCTTTTAACTTGACATAAGTACTTATTAGTTAAATTTAATTAAATTTAGCTACTCAAGCCCCTAACTTTTATTGTTAAGCTATTCAAAGTTTCAACCAACTCTTTTTATCTTCATTTAGTGCCCATAGAGGTAAATCACTTTTTTTTTTCTTCTCTAACTTTAAAACCCTAAACTCTATGCCAGCATTTGTCCAACCTCTTTCAATCCAACACTCAAGCTTTATAAAATCATTTATTCAAGATAAAGAAACTTAAATCAAGCTTTTAAAGTTACATGCAAGCCCTTAGGCATGGACCCAAAACTTAACCAACTTAAAACCCAACTACCCATTATTTAGAAATCAAGAAGATGACAAGCTAGTGAGGTAGAAGAGGGAGTTAAGGAGCTTACCCGAGTGTTTAATGGTTCAAAATAGCTCTCAAGCTTTTTAAAATTAGAGGCATAACATATATAGATCCAGTCTTTCTCCTTTGAGCTTTGTAACTTCTCCTAATTTCATATGATTTTTCAAGCCGATTTCATGTCTTTATGCTGCTAGAAATGTGCCATGCACCGCGGCATATACACAGCCAAATTAATGGAAAAGTTGACAGCACAAATAATGGAAATAATATTTACTCTGGATAAATAACAAGCTATTTGAGTCTTGGCAGCAATTAATTTGTGATTAGCAACAAAACATTTTTAATTTAACAGTACTGAAAAACTAATAACACGTGTTTAATGAAACAAGTGTTCGTCTTGTATAAACAACAAGTCATTCGGATTTTGACAACAATCAATTCGTAACTAACAGCAACACATTCAAACTTTAATAAGATAGAAAATCTAACATCACGTGTTAAATGTAATAAGCATCCACTTGACATAAACAAAAAGTCATTTGAGTTTTGGTAATAATTAATTTGTAACTGACAACACATTTAGAAGTTAGCAACAAATTTTTGTTTAGTTGTTTCTCTTTCATTAAGAGGAGCAATTAAGTCATTTTTCATAAAAAAATATTTTCAATTAAGAACTAAGGGGTGCAGCGAAAAACTTGAATCTCAAAGTTCTTCTTTAATATAAAATACCTCAAGTGATATTTTTCTTTTCTTTCTTTCTTTGTTTTTTTCTTTTTTGGCAATTTGGCTGTGGGACTTACGCAAACCACACAAGACATAACTTATAATGTAGCATTGTTAAATGTGTTAAAAATTCTTGAATTTAATATTTAATTATTTATCAAATTGTTTCAACATTTGAAATTTTACAAATCACGCTTTTCAATTATACTCCTATATGTTATCTTTTTATTTTTAATCGCGTAACTTAAGGTTTAATATTTTGTTAAGAAAATCAAATTATACATAATATATATATATATATATTTATATATATATAATTCATGTACTTTCCAATTATTATACATCTAAACTTACTTTTAAATTATATTCTTAAAAAAATTTAATTATTCATTTGTGTTTTTTAGAGAATATCCAAACATGAATTATCATGTAATGACTAACTTTTACCCAAGTCTCTAACTTTAGAGTAAAAACTTTATCTTATCATGAGTTTATTTTTATAACTTTTAGGCCAAGCACCTTAAATATGTTTGGCTCACTGCTTAAGCTTGCTATGAAAATCTTAGTACAATGTTTTTTTCATCAAGGTTAAAGGATAAAATTATCTTAAAAGTGTTTTTTGCCACATATAATTAATATTTTTTACTTTTGATTGAATGAAATACTGTCAAGGAAGTTTAAAAAAATGCACAATTTTGCCCTGTGGTATGTTTGCTCTGCTCTAACCGTTAGTTGAAAATTTTTGATTAGGATTGAAAAGTAATTTTGCCCTGGAAGCTTTTCCAAACAATCAATTAATATCCTAAACTTTAATTAATATAATATTTTTAGGTTATCAATGCTTAAATCAAAAGAAAAATCTTGCAACTCATTATCAATGTTTACAAATATTTTGTATTTCTTGATTTTGACAAGAGGTATTACCTGAAAATGCTTAGGTTCAAAACCAACTTTACTCCTGAACAATAAATCCCTAGACTTTTTCTTGAGTAAAGTATGAACTTGCTCTTATTTTGTTCATGAACAAGTTCAAGCATGTGTCCACGAGCTAGTTTCTGCTTGCACTAGCTTACCATGTGCAAATGGATATTTGTTTAGCTCGCCCATTGACAACATATACTAACTTGGACTCTGACTTAGTATCTCTTAGTATAATTTAACCTATAATATTCTTTTATTTTGGATTATAAAGGGTCATTGAGTCATTCTCCTAACACAGAAGTTGATAATTAAAAAATACACTATGTCAATCAAAACACATGATATTAATTATTCTTTTAAAAAAATCTTTGAAGGCAAAATTGTCTTTAACTCCGCAAAATTACAATTTATGTTGATCAAATATTAATATCAAAGGATGACATTGTATTAATTTTAAAATTTCTGGGATAACACCACGCCAATTGAAAATTAATGATACCAATTCTACGTGACAAATAATTTTCAAAGAAAAATTTAGCCTTTCGCCCTTTTCGCCATCCACTTTTGGCTTTTGAAACTTTTTCGAATCTTTCATGACTTCTTATTTCCCGTCAAGGTATTTTCAGTGACCTTAGTAAAAAATAAAAAATAAAAAATAAATTCCGGGAAGGGCTGAGGAGGGGACATCAGGAGCGCTGTTCGGGTAAAACGGTCTGATTTCAGAACAGGATATTTCATTTTCCTCAGCTCCTCCCTCTATTTTCTTACACGACTCGTGTCAACTCATACGACCGACCTCTTTTGGTGTCTCGCGGAGATATGGCCTGGAGGCATTTGATTTCGCAGGTCAGTCTATTCCTCTCTTACGTTCGCACCCCATTAATCCTGATACCATCAATGTTTCACATAGATTTAGAGCTTTCTGTTTTACAGGAACCCTAGTTCTGTTATTTCCAGGATTTTGTGTGTGTGCATATTTTATCCTTCAATTTTTTCTATGTTCATATGGAACTTAAATGGATAATGGGTGAAGAAGCGAAATCGACGCTGGAGGGGGAAAATCGTGGGAGAAAAGGATAAGGAAAGAAAATAGATACATCAAGAAGCAATCTTTAGATGTTTAGGTTTCTTCTCCCGTGCTTATCCTGTCGAGCGATGAAACAAAAAGGATAGTGCATGGATTAATGATTTTTGCGGGATTAACTGATCTGGTTTATTTTACTTAGAAATAAGAAATGAAGCTTCTTTGAAGGTCAAAAAGTTCTTGACTGCTGCTTATTTGCTTCTAACATTTTTCCCTCTTGATGTGCTGTGTGGGGACACAGTGTTAAGGCAGTTATTAAGGAAGGAGCCGTCAGTAATTGATGGACCTAAATTGAAATATGATGTGTCTGTGTTAGGAAGCATATGGTCTTTGAAGTGACAAACCAATAATACTAAATAGCCCAGGGTTATTGGATCAAAATGTAGAGCAGTCGCAGAAGTATTCTCGTTCTCTTTCCCTGAGACTGGATGTCAAGTTAACCGCACCATCTATAAGTTTATGAAGTGCTGAATATACTTGAATATAAGAGAGAATTATTCAGTTATTGTTAGTTAATGCTCGCGTCGGATTTATGATTTGTATTTTTTTTAAAGCTAATTACCAGTAATCAGTATCCATTTTTTAAGTTGACTTTATAATTTATCTTTACAGGTTTCACGCTATCGATCAGAATACGGACCAATTAAAAGCTTGCTTGCGAGATCCTATGTATCTGTTAACAAGTTTGAAGTTCGAGCAGGTATGTAATATTATGTCCCTGTTATGCATATAAGTATGATAATTAATCGATTCCGTCCATGCCATTTATTCACCAAAAAAGTAATTTATGTTCTTTGTCACCATATGCATTAGTCCTTCTTTATAACGCGGCGTTAGTTGCAAATTATACTGATATGGAGAATATCCTCTGAAAGTTCTTTTTGTGTATAATTTTCTAGCAGCTCGTTTAAAGTTTTAAAATTAATCGCACCAGTTTTGTCTAAATATGTGGGACTATATATATATATATATATATATCATTTTTCACTAACTTCAAATTTCTTGCAGGGAATAGGTTTTTTAGCACTCAGGAGAGATTTCGATCCAGCTATGTAGGGAATCTGGCTCGTCGAGTACGTGATGCAGATGAAGCCAGTGACCTTGCTCGTCTTAAAGAACTTCACCATCGAAATGACCCTGAAGCTGTGATTAGATTGTTTGAAAGTCAGCCAGCACTGCATACCAATCAGTCAGCACTTTCTGAGTACATTAAAGCATTAGTGAGAGTTGATCGGCTGGATGAAAGTGAATTATTGAAGACATTGCGGAGAGGTAGCCCCCCCCTTGCTATAGCCACTTTATTTCTCGTTGACACTTTATCTGCATATTCTTATACCCATTCTTATTGACTTGTATTAGTTGTCAATATTGGTTTACTGGCCAGTTAACCTTGCTCAAGGAAGATGGATTTTCTTAAGCTAACAACCAAAGATATGTTTCCCTTTCTTGTGCCTTTATTGAGAATGGTCGAATTGCCCACTCCTGCTATAGAAAGTCTTATAATTCAAAATTCAGTCACGTGCATGCAGGGTGTTGGAATTCCAAATAGAGAGTTGGGCACTTCTTACTGAAGAAATTGAGTTTTCTTGGCCGTCTCGAATGGAAAAGGTCCCAAGACATAAATTTATTTGCAGTTAATTGAGTAACTTGGGAGGCTTTTGATACACTCTCCTCTTGGCTTTGATGTCATGGATGTCAGGTGGCATACACGTGGCGTGTGTTTTAAGTTGCTTCATCCAAGATATCAGGAGGCATAGAACTACATAATTCTGAGCGTTATTATATTCCATCAATAAATCAGGGGACCTCATATTTAAGTTGCATTTTTAATGTTTCTCGATTTATAAAATACTAGTACTTATTATATTTTTTCCATGACAAATTTTAGTTGTCATATCAAACACGTGAATTTAAAGTGTCTTGTTATTTTGAAATACCAAGGAATGAGCAATGAATGTGTATCAATTGGCTCCTTACGTGGATGAGAAGCATGAAGTTTTGGTTTAAGAGTAATATCATATTTGTTTTGTGCTATGGCCCATTTGTACTGTGGCTTTGATCATCAATAATATTTTTTGGGGTACATGGTTAAGTTATGTCATCTACTCTTAATGAGATGAAGTACTTATAAACTTACTTTAGTTTGATGTACTGCCGTAAGGCTGTACCAGGATTATTGTCCTGTTCTTTTACCTATGTGGTGCTTGGACAGCTAAGATTTCCCAAGAGTGCATGGTTTAGGCGAGATAATAGAATGATGGAAGATTGCAATTGTATTCCACAACAATCTTAACTTCAGTTGTTTTTGAGTTTGAAAACTTCAAGCTTGGCATTTCAATTACATACTTCTATGAAGGATGTTATTTCTTGTCATTCTGTGATAAACATCTGGAGTCCCATATCTTTAGCAGAATTTTTGTGAACTAGATGTTATAGCCACATGCCTGTGGATTTGCAGGTATTTCTAATTCAGCGAGGGAGGAAGATAGTATTGGTGGCCTTGCTGCTTTAAAAAATGTAGGGAAGCCCACAAAAGAAGGAATTCTTGGAACTGCAAGTGCTCCAATCCATATGGTGGCTGCAGAAGGTGGAAATTTAAAAGAGCAGCTTTGGCGCACATTTAGGTCCATTGCTGTGGTCTTTCTCCTGATTTCTGGTGTGGGAGCACTTATTGAGGATAAGGGAATCAGTAAAGGTAATACTTGGTCTTTGTAACTCCTCAGATCCTGAATATCAGGTATGAGTTTGATGAAAACATTGTTCTTTGGTTTGATTGCAGGACTCGGTATGAATGAAGAGGTGCAACCTAGCATGGATTCAAGTACAAAATTTAGTGATGTAAAAGGTGTTGATGAGGCAAAAGCAGAACTGGAAGAAATTGTTTACTACCTCCGAGATCCTAAGGTAGACAACTCTGGTATAAGTCCTTTCTCTCTTGAATGCCTCACACTCAAGCTTCTTAAACTTGTATCTATAGGATACTTCTTTAACTGAAAATTTTTGTGTGCGTTCATTTTCACATGTTCTACTGGGATTGTGTTGGTTAACTTACATTCAACCTGCTGCTTATGGGGATCCAGAAACTAATTGTGAAAATTTATTCTCAAGGTTGTGCTGAGATGAGACATGCTCTTTAATCAAGAAGAAAACAGTCAAAATTATGATAATTGAATCTGGATCTTTTTGTAACTGTTCTAGTTTATTTTTCTTAAATTATGTTACCGGATGACTCATTATAATTTCTGTCTTGCACTGTGGATTTAATGTTTTGTAGTTTTATTTTATGTGCTGCTTTTCTGATCATGTGTACATACTCATGTATTTCATCACTACATATGAATGACTCTGTTTCATTGTGGCAGCGCTTTACCCGTCTTGGAGGAAAGCTTCCAAAAGGTGTTCTGCTTGTTGGGCCTCCTGGGACTGGAAAAACAATGTTGGCAAGAGCAATAGCTGGAGAGGCGGGGGTTCCTTTCTTCTCTTGCAGTGGCAGTGAATTTGAAGAGATGTTTGTTGGTGTTGGAGCACGGAGAGTTAGGGATCTTTTTGCTGCTGCGAAGAAGCGATCACCCTGTATAATTTTCATTGATGAAATAGATGCTATTGGAGGTAGCCGAAACCCAAAGGACCAGATGTATATGAAGATGACATTGAATCAATTGCTTGTTGAACTAGATGGATTCAAGCAAAACGAAGGCATTATTGTGATTGCAGCTACTAATTTTCCTGAGTCATTGGATAAGGCTTTGGTGAGACCTGGGAGGTTTGATCGCCATGTTGTTGTTCCTAATCCTGATGTAGAAGGAAGGCGGCAGATTCTTGAATCCCACATGTCCAAGGTATGATTTTCTCCTATTATTTGCTATACTTTTATATGTGGGCTGACCTGTCTTGGTATAAAAAAATCCACACTTGCTGATTTCCTGTTTGCAATTGAAATGCCTTGTAACAGGTTCTGAAGGCCGATGATGTTGATTTAATGATCATTGCAAGAGGAACACCTGGGTTTTCTGGTGCTGACCTTGCAAATTTGGTGAATGTTGCTGCTCTCAAGGCTGCGATGGATGGTGCTAAAGCTGTGAGCATGACTGACCTTGAGTATGCGAAGGACAAAATTTTGATGGGAAGTGAGCGCAAGTCAGCTGTCATAACTGAGGAATCAAGAAAGTTGACTGCTTTCCATGAGGGTGGTCATGCTCTTGTGGCTATTCATACTGATGGGGCACTTCCAGTTCACAAGGCAACGATTGTCCCAAGAGGAATGGCTCTTGGCATGGTGACTCAATTGCCTGACAAGGATGAGACCAGTCTCTCCCGCAAGCAGATGCTTGCCCGCCTCGATGTTTGCATGGGTGGTCGGGTTGCAGAAGAGCTAATATTTGGAGAAAATGAAGTTACTTCCGGTGCTTCAAGTGATCTCAAGACAGCAACTAATCTGGCCAGGGCAATGATTACTAAATACGGTATGAGCAATGAAGTGGGACTTGTCACTCACAATTATAATGACGATGGCAGAAGCATGAGCTCAGAAACTAGGCTTCTTATTGAGAAGGAGGTCAAGCTCTTTCTGGAGAGAGCTTACAACAATGCAAAAACTATTCTAACAACTCACAATAAGGAGCTTCATGCCCTTGCAAATGCTCTACTGGAACACGAGACCCTTACGGGAAGTCAAATAAAGGCAGTGCTTGCTAAAGTGAAGTCCCAGCAGCAACAGCAGCCGCATACGATTGAACAGAATAGTTCACAATCAAACCCGGTCCCACCATCATCCAACCCAGCAGCATCTGCAGCAGCAGCTGCCGCCGCCGCAGCAGCTGCAGCTACTGCAGCAGCCAAGGCTAAAGGCATTGCTCCTGTGGGATCTTAGCAAGGCAACTGTAAGAGTCTGTTTATTAATTATGGAGAGCGAAATGTGCAGATAGTTGATGTGATTCTGCCCCCGTGAGTGAATATTAATTTCGTCATGGCGGAGTCAAGTTGACTCAAAATAGTTCTTAGCCATTGTTATTTTAGCGAAGTACACGTAGAAATGTTCGCTGAATTGAATAATTCGACCAAAATAGTGAGAGAAATATGACATGTGAAGAAGTCGGTGGTGGTAATTTGGGTTGATCATCTCCGTGTGCTTCGAACTTCCAAGTATCTGCTCTAAGAAAAAAACCAACACATACTCTTTTCCAATGCTTCCAATTATTTTGTTTCAATCTGATTTTCGAGTTCGTTCGTTTGTTCTTTCGTCCATTTTTTTTTTTCGCCGCCTAGCATCGGGGATCTAGAGTGGTGTATCAAAATACCAGTCCATGCAGGATATGCAACTCGCAAGGGTTTGTTAAGATAATAATTATACGTTTTAACAAATTTATGCTCGGACAAATGATTATTCGACTCTGGAATCTAACATGAAAAATGTTATATGTTTTGGGTTGGGTGTCCTAGCTGCCGCTACCTTCTCTTCCTCTTTTTCTTTCAAAGGGCGCGGGAAATGTCATACTCTGGTGTTGGCCAGTTTGACATGGACGATGAACGTGAAGGCATTAGATGAACGCTCTATTATATGCTTTCTGTCTTTTGTTTTATGTTGTTAGTTTCTGGACTTGCTTTGTTTCTTGCCCTTTGATTTTGTTTCTAAGTGCCGTTGCTTCGGCCATTAGCCTTTTGTTTCGATGAATGAAGAATCTTTTTCTAGCAAAAAAAAAAAAAAATTACGAGGTCATGAAGGTTTTATTTGTTTCGCTTTCTACACTAATATTTGCATTTGTTGTCTAGAAAAATTATACGTTTGATCTTTATAATTTAAATATAAATTTTGTTTTGTTTCTGTATTTTCTTTTCATGAATCAAATAGTTACTCTTTGTTGTCCTTATATTTTATCTCGAGGATTAATGATCACATTTAACTTTCAATGTGAACCGGGGATCGCTGTTGTCATGATTTCATATTCTTGGAAAAATATTACAGGAATCGATGTAATAATATATTCAATGTATATATGAAGTCCATGATAAGTTGTAATACAGTATAGTATTTTTCTAGCTTCGTGCAATGTATTATCACCTTTTAGGCTGTTACCAAAAAATTTGAAAGTTTTCCTCTCGATATTTGGTGACTGGTTGATAATTTGTTGATGAAATTAATTTTATAATATATCAAGTTTAATCTTAAAATCCAATTACAAAACTGAATTACAATACAAGCATCAGTCCTTTTGTACTAAATCTTTATTTTTTAAGATATAAGGATACACTTTGTTAAGGGAGCAGCTACTAAAACTCTACCAATTAGTATGCTATTTGGCAAGATAGAAGATGTGGCGGAGCCAAAAGTTAAATAAATTTAACGAACAAACACACATGCATGCATGCACTATATAAATTTTAGAGGCTCGGGAATATGTAATATATACTCTCTCTATTTCAAATCACAGAATACTTTTAAAAAAAAAATTTTATTTTAAAATATAAGATACTTTAAATAAATTAAAATTTTATTAAATACATCAATTTTAATTTTATTTTTTTCTCTCTATAATTAATTTTCATCTATTCTATTTTTAATAGATTAAATGATAAATATTTTTAAAAAAATTATATTTTTATTTTAAAAATATAAAATTATTAAATTTATTTAATAAAAATTATTGATATATAAAATTTTATTTAAAAATATTTTATAATTTAAAATCAACGGAGTAATATGAATATAAATATTGATACATTTTGAAAACTTGGTAAGTGCTGCCAGTCACCCCTCTTCGATCAAATCATAAGGTCTACTACCCTAGGAAGTAGCTTTGTCAAGAAAGTAAAGGAGGGACATGATTTGCAACATGCAGCAGAATTGAAAATCAAATCACATAAATTTTACATTTTATATCGATGAATAATAAATTATACCGAGGCCAAAGGAAAAGAAAGCTTTACGAAAGTGGCTGCGTTTGCCCATAAACAGAAGCAACACTCAGCGGAGCTAAATATTGAAGCGGTGGTGAACGCAGATGATTTGTCCTATTCAATCTGCAGAAGAACGCTTTCGCGCGCCTGGTGAGCCATCTTTTTCAACCCTCTACTTTTTCCATTGTTGTCGCATACTTGATGCATCATTCATCGCTTAAATATCGTCGGAACCAGTGAAGATGGTTCTTCTGAAACTTATATATTGTGAATTAATTGGGGCTATTGTGGAATTAGCTAACATGTTTTATTTTAAAAAGCTAGCAAGGCAAATGATATGTTTATTTGAAGTCTGGCTTGAAAATTGAAGCCCGGTGTATTTTTACTGCCTAAAGGAAATTAGAATGATGGGGAGAGAACGAAATTGGGGAGGTAACAGAAAATGAAGTTCATGAGAGAAACCATAACAATAAAAGTTCTATAGAGTTTGTCTGAGCCAAAAGCTGAATCCAAGAATTTACAATCCCCTGGTAACCAATGCCAATGAAGTCTGAACCGATCCATGGATATTTTCATAATCCACGCGTTCAAATTCTCCAACCAATATGCCTATGCAAAGCTGATATTTTCTTAAGCTTGTTTTATATGAAATTCAGGTTTCTTACTTTATATCCTTGCTCAGTTGCTCGTGTTGACAAACGCATTTGCGGGTCTATTCTTTTATGAATGGATATAAAAATGTATAAGGCATGCACTGAAAGAAATTGACTTGATTGATTACTTTATGTCATGGACTTTTTATTCAAATACCGTGGTGCTACTGCAGGAAGGCAGAACCGAAGAGTTATAGTAGAAAACTACCACGGGGAAAAGCTTGTGGGGATTTTACACGATGCAGGTTCAACAGAGCTTGTCATTTTGTGCCATGGATTGCAATCTTCCAAGGTTGCTGGTCTTGACAAATAATGACCCCAGACTAACTACTCATGCTCCTTCAATATACATTAGAACATATCCATCAGCTATATTTAGTAGTTCCGTACACAATGGACTAATCACTAATGGTCAACAGTTAACCTGTTAGCTTGTCAGTTCATTGTTATTTGGATGCAAGATTTTCAACCCAATTTCATCATGGTGGTATTAAATATTCCAAACTATTCTCTTGAGATGTAATTTGATCTAACTTCTCTCTTTTAGCTTAAGAAATGAGATTCCTTTAGAGTCAGGAGCCAATAGCTAACAAGGCTCATTATAAATTATTTTTTAACAAACAGAATATTTTTTTGATATTTAGATGTTTATGTGAGATTTATGTTTTCAACTTCTTTTGTTGTTATATATTCATATATCTTTACAAGCATGCAACATGTTGAAACTGGTTATTCTGGACTAAAGGGTCAGATGACATGATTTCTAGGAAAGAATTCCCATGGTGAACCTTGCTACTGCTCTGGAAAATGATGGAATTAGTGCCTTCCGCTTTGACTTTTCTGGAAATGGGTATGATCTTCTGCAAATGAAAGTATATTAAATGAGTGAATTGCTAGTTTGTTCAAGGTTGTGATGATTTTGTGGCTAGTTTGATACTTTGGATTATTTACACTCAAATTTTTTTTGGGTTATTCAGAAATAGATTTTAGAATGTCATGGCGACAAGAGTATCCAGTGATTGTTGTGCAAATGTTTTATCAATATAATTGTAACAAGATCACAACTTTTGTTCTATCACCAAAATAGAGAGTAATTTTTAATGCCATTTTTAGACAGGTAGTGGAAAACTATAGAGAATAGTTAATGAATTTATTGAAAGAGATCTTTTGGCCAACAATTTATACAAAGATTTGATGGTTGATAGAGCACAATGACGTCATGCAATCTAGATAGCCAACTCCACCAAGTGAGATAAGGCTGGCTGTTATTGTTGTTTCATAAAATGTTCTTTCAATGCAGTCTCAATGTCCTGTCATGGTAGTAGGGTATACAGATCAAGGCACCAAATCTTCTCTTCCATTCTTGGCTTCTTTGTTTTCCTCCTAATTATAGCTGGCATTGAAAGCAATGAATTCAAAATAGAAACGGAAGGGACTGGCTCTGTCAAAAAAATAAATGAAGTGGTGATTCTTCTTACATGGTGACCCTGAAGTGTACCTCTTGCTTGATAAAATACTGAACATTGAACTATAGCAATTTGATATAGATTTGGGTCATAACAGAGATGACCAACGCTGTCTTCCAGGGAAAGTGAAGGTTCATTTAGGTATGGCAATTACTATAGGGAAGCTGATGACCTGCGAGCTGTAGTGCAACACTTCAGGGAGGAGAAATACATGATCACCGCAATTTTGGGTCACAGTAAAGGTCAGATTACAAATATGCTCGATTCTCTAATTGGGTTCATACTCATGGAATATCAGTCAATGACATGAGGAATATTTTAGCAGTGGTTTGATATACATTGTTTTCCATCCTAGCTCTTGCCTTATTTAACTTATTTGGCTACAATTATTTTACTTAATTTTAGTTATCAATAATGAAACTCCCATGAAAAAAGGATGTTTAAATATATAGGTTACCATAAAAGTAAAATTCCTTTGCACTCAATAAAATTAATTCTGTTCCTGGACAATCTTTTATGAAAGACACGTTCTTACCCAGAAGGCCTGTAAAAATGTGCAGAGAGAGAGAGAGAGAGAGAGAGAGAGAGTTAGGTTGTTAGATCTGTATGTGGTTTTGGAGAGAGCGTATGATGGGGCTCTTGGGAAATTCAATATGCAGGTAAAACTGAAAGAAAGTTGTCTGAAATGTTTTTCACATGTAAATCTTAGAGATGCAAATATTTATTGGAAAAGAGTAGGATAATCGAAGAGCATAAAAAGCTGGGTTACATGTTACCTGTTTGAACTGATGAGATATGTTTTTGCAATTTTAGCTGAGAATGCAATCTTGGATGAAGTGTAATGGTAACAGAACCTTGAGATCTTCTTGAGAATGCGAAACAGCTTACCCTCTACTATTTGAACAACTTATTTACGGTGGTTCTGTAATGGTGTTTGCAGGGGCTAATGTGGCACTTTTATATGCCTCAAAATATAAGGATGTTGATATTATTGTCAATATTTCTGGCCGGTTTAATCTGGTGAAAGGCATAGAAGGTCGCTTGGGAAAAAATTTCATGCAAAGAATCAAGCGAGATGGATTTATTGATGCTAAGAATGCAAGAGGTGAGCTTTCCGATGCAATTAATCTCTGAATGCTGCCTATCTATAAGTGCTATTGTAATGGCAGCATGTCTTGGTCAATGTTCTCTTGTTACATTGTTTAGTTGTTTTCATGAATTGTTTGAGTGGATTTCAAAATTCTGGTGATCTACGGTCTTGGTATAATATGTAGACATGTCTTGGTCAGCTTATTGCCTTATTGTTGTCTATCCCGTGGATACTTGTGCCATCATTTTGGGTTATGTGGTGAACAATACTGAAGACTTCTGTATTTTATTATTTAGTCATTGCCTGAAGTTTTATTTGCCTATTGTCCGTCAACATGGAATAGCCTTGTTAACAAATCCCTTATCTTCTGATAGGGAAAATTATCTATCGTGTCACAAAGGAAAGTTTGATGGACCGCTTATCAACTATTACCCATACTTCATGTCTATTAATTCCTCAAACTTGCAGGTGAGGCCGAAGGTTATCATTCCTACTAATAACATAATAAAAATATTGGTTTCATCAACTTTTACTGATAACTTTGCTAATGCTTAGGGTGTTGACGGTTCATGGATCCAAGGATCCCATAGTACCAGCGGAAGATGCTTTAGATTTTGCCAAGTTCATATCCAATCATGAACTGCGCATTATAGAAGGAGCTGATCATGAATACACTTGTCATCAAGACGAGTTGATCCGCATAGTTTTAGAATTCATCAAGACTCGTCGTGATAGAGACGGAGATGCATGTAAGCAGGCACCACTTGGAACTGTAGATAAAACTCGTCCTTCACGATTGTAGTTATAGCGGCCAGTAAAAAGCAGCTGTTGGGTTGGAAAAAATTGACAGATCTCACACCAATTATCGTGTTTTGCGTTATCATTAGCGCTCCTTCAACATTTGCGACTGTTGAGAACAGCTGTATCAATCCTAGTTATTGCCATGTTCGAAGTCGCTGTTATTTCACCTTTGTAGAAGTTTTACAGGCAGCTGAGCTTACTGTAAATTTTCATTGGTTTAGAGAAAAGTAATATTGAAGAAGCATCATCAATGAAATTTTAATTTTATTAAAGTGTTTTATATTTGGGAATGTTAGATCTTCCTTCAAAGTGTTTTATAATTTAGGATTAAGAGAGTAATATTTGTACATAGGTATAGACACCTATATGCACATTTTGACATCTTAGCTTGAGATGAATCTAAGTATGATTTAGTTTTTGAATGATTAACTCTTCATTTATAAATGATTATTCAGATATAAAAATTTCATGCACATAGGAATGTCATGAAAGGATTTCAAGTTGACGCAATTCATAAAAGATGTTAAGTAATAACTAAGCATTCTTTTAAGCATTCTTTTTAAAATACTTCCTTTGCCCCTATATATACGTTCCTTTCATTTTAAATTATAAAATATTTTTAAATAAAATTTTATATATCAATAAAATTTATTATATACATTTTATTACTTTAATTTTTTAAGATAAAAATATAAGCTTTTAAAAATACTTTTCATTTAATACTCCATTGGTAAAAGGATATTAAAGAAAGAGAATAAATTGAAGGATAATATTGAAAAAGTATCAATGAAATTTTATTTTTATCAAAATGCCTTATATTTTAAAACGTTGAATCTTTCCTAAAAGTATATTATAATTTGGAATGGAGGGAGTATTTTTTATTAATTTATTTTATCCTTAAATATAAGTATCATGATATTTTTAAGTAATTAAATAATTTTATCATTGTCTTGAAAAAAAGAAAGAAATATTAATATGTATATTTTTACCCACAACCACCATGATATTAATTAATATTATTAAGGATAAAATTAAAAAATTATTATGATTTTAATTAAATAACAAATTTTTATTAATATGTAAGATTAAGTTAAAAATATATTTTAATATATAAATATATATAGATGGATGGAGCAGTGTACAACTCAATCGGAAACAATTGCTTAGCTGGAAGAAGGCAAGATAGTTTGCTCGTGGAGGCTTTAGCATCTCATTTCGGCATATTCTGCAGCTTTGGATTATTAATAAGTTCTTCGACCTTGTGCCAAATATGAAATTGTGAGCTAAAAGTTACGTTAGTTGTGACTACATGAAGTATGCAATTTTCATTAGTAGCTGTACTACATCGAGTAGTTGAATTATTGTAACGTATTATATCTCTGCACTTTCTTCACATGTTCCCAGTTCCCTATCGTCGTAAATAAGCACCAAAAGTAGGTAAAAGACGTCAAATTTGTTATATAGTAATTTTTTTTTTTAAAAAAATAGCAATTGCTTTTCACTTGAAGTTGGAAACTACTATCTCCTCAATTGTGCTAGTGTAAACCGGAGCATCTGCATTCAATCCACTTTGCTCTGGTGGACAGGATATCCTATATTTCAGGCGACAGCCTGTTACAGCTAATAAAATGAAATAACGAAACAATAATAATGTCCCTTTTTGGGCACCTGTGCAATTACATGGTTCTGTTTGTCACCATTGTCGAAGATACATCTGTAGCAGTCACGGTCCTAATCTTATCCCTCGCCTGTCTATCGTAGCAGTGAAAGGTCTCTTCAATTCTCTCTTTATTTTTTTTCATTTCTTTCATCTTAATCATTTATATTATTTTATTAAATAAATTTTTTAAAATTATAAAATTGATGAATGATTGATATAAGAGAAGTAGAAAAAAATGAAAAGAAAGAAGTGAAGAAGTTCCTCTATACTATCGTAGCAATCTTTTTTATTGAAAATCTTCAATCCCTTGATCGTCAGCTTGGTGACCCGGCCAGCCTCATGATTGTAGTCAAAATATTCGACAATGAAAGATAATAGTACACTATTCTTTCGCTTATTTCTGCCAACCACAATAATATTAATATAAAAATATAAAAAATAAAAATATATAAAGTTTTAAATATGATCGTATATAAAAAAAAAAATAATATTATAAAAAATAATTTTAAAAATATTTTTTAAATATTGCTTTAAAAACCACACCATAATTTATAATAGAGACCAAATATGAGATTGGAGAGAGTACGTCGGAAGCCGAACCCGCCTTTAAGCAATGCATGATCTTTTTTTTTTTGGGGGGGGGGGGGCGATTAAATATTGTTGCTCTATATAGAAACTTTAGCCGCTTGATTGAACCACACAGAGCCGTACCATTGTTGTTTAAACCTTGGTGCTGCTATCTGTGGCGTTGATTGGATCAACGTCTGAATATGCATCACAAACAAGCATACAAGCACACAGCTCTGCTCCCATCGACACTCGCTTTTTCCCTTCAATCCGCGTATCACTGCAAAATAAAAGCAGCCACTCACTGATTTCTGCAACCAAATACCCATTCCTAGTCCATAACTCTCTGATAAGAGAAACTCATGCTGTCATACACTCCCAAGTAGGTGTCTATCTACCACACAAGGCTTCTTTCTTGATACTGCCAGATCTTTCTTTGTTTCTTCATTTCTGCCGCAATGGGGGACACGAGGAAGTACATTTCACAGCAAGACCTTAGAAAGCATAACAAAAGAGGAGATCTATGGATCTCCATACAGGGCAAGGTCTACGACGTCTCCGATTGGGCAAATCACCACCCAGGAGGTGAGCTTCCACTCTTCAATCTCGCTGGCCAGGACGTCACTGACGCTTTCGTAGCTTACCATCCCGCCACTGCATGGCAATACATGGACAACTTGTTCACCGGATATTACCTCCAGGACTACTCCGTCTCCGAGGTATCCAAGGATTACCGGAGGCTTGTGTCGGAATTCTCCAAGATGGGTCTATTCGAAAGCAAAGGTCACGGCGTGTTCTTCGCTCTCTCCTTCATAGCATTTCTGTTTTCCGTGAGCGTTTATGGTGTCTTGTGCTGTACCAACCCGTGGGTTCACTTGGGTTGTGGTGGCTTAATGGGGTTCTTGTGGATTCAGAGTGGATGGATTGGACATGACTCAGGGCATTATCAGATAATGTCAAGCAAGGGTTTCAATCGTTTTGCCCAGATCCTTACTGGGAATTGCCTCGCAGGGATCAGTATTGGGTGGTGGAAGTGGGACCACAATGCCCATCACATTGCCTGTAATAGTCTTGATTTCGATCCTGACCTTCAGCATATGCCATTGTTTGCAGTGTCTTCCAAATTTTTCGATTCGCTTACTTCGCATTTCTACGAGAGAAAGTTGAATTTTGATTCTGTGGCCAGATTCTTGGTTAGCTATCAGCATTGGACATTTTATCCTGTAATGTGCTTTGCTAGATTGAACTTGTTCGCCCAATCATTCGTCTTACTCTTATCCAAGAGGAAGGTACCCTACAGAGGGCAGGAGATTCTGGGGCTGCTTGTTTTCTGGATATGGTATCCCATACTGGTTTCTTGCTTACCCAATTGGGGTGAAAGAATAATGTTCGTCATTGCTAGCTTCTGTGTCACGGGAATACAACACGTTCAGTTCTGCTTGAATCATTTCTCGTCCAGTGTATATATGGGGCCACCAAGCTCCAGAGATTGGTTTGAGAAGCAGACTGGTGGGACGCTGGATGTTAAGTGTTCACCTTGGATGGACTGGTTTCATGGTGGATTACAATTTCAGGTGGAGCACCATCTGTTTCCGAGGCTGCCCAGATGTCAGTTGAGGAAAATCTCGCCTTTGGTTAAGGAACTCTGCAAAAGGCACAATTTGCCATACAACTGCGTCTCCTTCTGGAAAGCCAATGCACTAACAATTCAGACACTGAGGAATGCAGCCTTGGAGGCTCGCAATCCATCTAACCCTATTCCGAAAAATTTAGTTTGGGAAGCTGTCAATACCCATGGATGAATTTAATGGAATCACTGCAAAACATTTCACCTGCAGGTGGCACTCATGTGTTTTGCTTCTCCACTTTCATGCTTCATTTACTGTCAGTTTTGGTATACTTATGTAATTATGTTGCCGTGGATCTCTCTGAATAATCGATTGTGATGTGTTTGGCTTTGCGTCCAAGGTTCATTTCATTTTCAATGAGACACCAAGGGATGTAATATCTGTTACATTCAAATTCACTGAAAGATATTCTATTTGCTGGTTTTATGCTTGTTGCTCCGCCTAGTTTATTCAATCATTGGCAGTTGTCACGGCAGAAGGTTTGCAAGTTGTTCCACGTATCGCGAGATTGAGAACAAATCTTTGAGGTTTTCATATTTGGTTTGCTGCCATTGCATTGCAGTGCGATAAGGTGGCAAATTGAATTTGTCATTCTTTTATTTTCTCTCTGTATAAGACAGCATTCAGTCAAGAGTAACATCATCTTTCGAAGAATTGTGTCTCTAAGATAGATTCTTGAGTGAGGATGTTTTATGTTATGGATATAAAGCCGCAACTTTCTGTTTGACATTTTAAACCAACCTGCAATTAGCCAGACGTGTGTTTTGAAAATATTCCACTATTGCATTTCCTCCAGGCAAGTTAGCTCCCTTACAGCAGATTGTATGCATGTATCTATTGTCTGTTGAATTGGATTGTCCAAATCTTATGGAAGCAACTTAACATTCAGCTACTGACGGGAAGAAATTAAGCGATTGAAGCTGATATATAGGTGTGTGGATGTTCTTGCTGATGATAGCGTGATTAGCCCTAAGGTCTTCATATCTGGGATTGTATTATTTCCTTTGTTAGTCTGTAGTTTATTAGGTCGGATCTGATGCAAAGTAGCATGTTTGACCTCGAGGTCCAGGATTCAATGAGTTTGGTTCTATTTCCATGCGCTTCGTTTCATATTAATATTCCAAAAGAAAGATGGCAATGCATCTTTTTGAAAAAGGATAGAAGATGTTAAAGAGGAAATAGCGCGACAACCCTATTTATTGATTGAAAAATTAACTAAGAATATGCTAATTCAAATTCAGTGACCGTTGTTCGAATGTTGTAATATAATATCTATCATAACATGAATTCATCTTTAAAAAAAAATCAGCTAGTCGAGTGAGGGAGTGAGGTCAACTGGTCAAAAATTGGAAAGGATCCAACATTATTCTAAATTTTAAAATAATAATTAAAATACTAAAACTAGTCCAATCCCGTACCAGTACAGGATCAGGCCTTGCGGGTCATCTTCACTTGTAAAGTTGCATCGAATCAAGTCATTGAACCGAAAGCAGGATGCTGCTCGGCCTGGTTCATGAGTGAAGGCGCCGATCCAGACTGAAGCTAGTTTAACCCTCATGGGTTGTCTTGGGCAAACATGAAACGGAAATTTCGAGCTAATTAAACGGGCTAAAATGGACTGCCACTTTGATCTGTTAGAATATGAATTTTCAGAAAAAGAACATTCTGCAAAAAGTTTAACCAGCAACAGGAAAAATCTGAGAAACCTTCACATGAAACAAGGGGGGCTTGGATTAAACTGTGATGCTGAGCGGTGTGTGATCAGCTAGTTGTCTCAGTGCCCTCGCGTTTCAGTTTTCCATCCGATGTTCAGCCCACAAGTTCTAACCTTGATATGGCTGGGGTATTGGAGGGAGCTTCATCATGCACTCCCTCCGTTCTTATTTACAAGAGAAAGTATTTTTTTAGTTTGTTTTTTATATAAATAAAATTACATTTTTAATAAATATTTATTATAAATTTTTTAAAATACTTTTCATAATTTCATTATTCATTGTTATAAGAAATAATTAATGAAGACTTTATTAACATTAATAAATAATAGTTTAGTTTAATTTTTTTATTTTCAAATATAATTAATATAGTAAATTAATTTTTTAAAATTGTGTAATATAATTTTATTCTACAAATAAAAAGGGAGGAAGTATTGGTGTCTCTTGAAAAAAGAAAAAAATACATATAAAAACCAGTAGAGAACAGCTTGTAAAGCCCCCCCTCTTGGGCGGATACGGGACCGTCTTCATGTGGTCAATAAATCTCGAGTTTAAGATCAAGTCCCTGGTTCACGTGGCCCTTGTGATTGCAGCAACGTTATGGGCAGAGCAGCTTAATTTGGAACGTGATGATCTCACCTATTTGAAACTTTCAAGTCAGTTTTGGTTTATAGAATTGATTGCAAATGAAGGTGTGGTGAAGGGACCGTGACCGGCCTAATAATGCCCAAGCTGCTGTGTTTAGTGGTTCGGTCACACACACCGCCTTGTTCAGCATTCCAACTCTTGAATTCTATTTTCGGTTGCGCGGCAGAGTAAACATGCGCCTGAAAGCTCCGATTAAGATCACGGTCTCTGATGGAGACACAAGCTCCACCCAGAACATTCCCTAATTTCAAAACTATCCCATCTGTCTATCTCTAGTGCTTCTTATCCCCATCATCTGTCTATCTCTAGTGCTTCTTATCACGTGCATGGGGCCATTCAACCCAGAAAAGCAATTACTCTCCCAATCGTCAAATCTCCTTGATTTGTTACTGCGCAAGTCAGAGGGCTTTTCTGGTTTCCAACTCTGACGAAGACCGACTTAACTGGTGAATATGGCAGTGAATGATAATCGCGCTTCTCAATGATATGTCTTATCAAACGTGGAATACCTGCCGACACATGGAAGAGGATTCTTTTCCATTCTATTCTTTTTTGGGTTGGCAGAAGAGTAAATAAACGGACAAAAACTGAGAATATTTTAATATGCGCATGAGTGTGTGTGAGATCCAACAGCTCTGCCGACCAGATCAAGACTCCGCCCCATGGAAATCTCGTGGATTCAAATCTACACTTGTCCCTACACTTGACGGTGATAAAAATATTTTAAACAGTAACTTGACTTCCCTTCCCTTGGTTGATTTACTCCCTTTGTTATTATATATAAAAAATCTTTTAAAATTTTTTTTATCTCATAAACAATTATTAACATAATTTTAATGAATAAACTATTATACTTTTATTAAATTAAAAAAATAAATATTTTTATTAATTTATATGAAAAAAATATTCATTTTTTATTTATAATAATTGAAAATAAATTAAAATATTATTATATTTTTAATTAAATAATTAAATTTTATTAATTTATATGATTCAATTAAAAACATTTTTTAGGTCGGAGGGAGTATGTACGTATATTTTTCTGAATTTATTTATTCATTTATTTTCCCGCAAGCCCCACTCCTACACTGTAGTTCTTGAGTTCTGTGAATCAAGCTTTAAAAAGCAGCTTTGAGATCAGGGCATTTAAACTATCAGAAGGTTCAAGAACTCCAGCAGACGTTTAACAGGGACAGGCTCCTAAGACATGACATGTACAATTCAGTACCTGATACTCTGCGCATTTCGTACCTCAGTTACTTCAGACATCAAATCTCAGACTCCACCGCATAACAACAATGACCCCCCCTTTCTTGAAGACGTCGTCCAGTTTTTTGCTCGTTTTCGTTGGCCTTAACTGGCCTCTCTTTCTTCCCCTTTTCCAGCGTCGTCGTCGTGTGGGAGAAGTAGACAAATATCTTTGCTAAAGGAACAAGCAAAACTAAATTCCCCTCCTTTCATCCTCAGATCTTTGTCACATTTGCCTCTAGTTGCTTGTTGCATCTTCACAGTTAGTCTCGTCATGAACTCATCCAAACCTTATCACCAAGGGAGGGAATTAACGGGTAAATAGTGAGCTGGAAAAAAAAAAAAAACAGAGCACTGCTTCGTGCTTTGATTTCGAAAGCAGAGACAACTATAAAGTTTGCATTTCTATAAAATTAAGAAATCACTTCCTGCAAGAAAACTACAATGGTATGAGAAAAAAAAGTTCTTAGAAACACTCCCGTCTGCCATAACAAGCTCGAATAACAGTTTTCTTCTGAATTCTAAATTCCCTCCTGAACACAATTTCATGGGCTCGGATGTCTTCCAAAGCTGATAAATTCCCTTTTGGGAAGATTAAGAACCGAAGTCGAATTTGTTAAAAAATGTCAAGGGAAAAAGAAGAAATAGAATCGATTAGACATTGGTCATTACAGGGGTAATGAATCGATGATCGAACAAAATCTAAAAAGAAAACTTCCAGATCTTGATTCGAAGATCCACTTTACACTCAGAGTCCGTGACCGAGGCCACCGACGGCGTCTTCCCACTGGGCACCGTACCCCTGATCCCGTCACACTCAACTCTAATCCCCACCTTCTTGCTCTTGAGCCACTCCATCTCCAGCTTCACCTTAGTGTCCATCTGAATCGTCACCGGGAAACCCTTCTTCTTTTGAGATTCGACCTGAGGCTAGTGAGCGCTTCGGTATCCAGATCCTGGGCATCGGAAAGAACAGCTCGGAGGCTGGTCTGGTTGTTCTTGTCAGATGTGAGGGCCGGCAGAGAGCCGTTGCCGACGGGGACGTTACCGGAGTAAGCGGAGACAGAGAAAGGGTCATAGGAGAAAACAAGATGGTTGTTAGGGTTTTTGGCGATGAGGGTGAGATTGAGGAGGGTGGTGAGGTGCGAGGGGGAGTCAGGAGAAGAGGTGAGGTTCAGCTTGGCAATGCGAAGATTGGTGATGGAGAATTGGGGGCGGTGAGGACGGTAGAGGACATAGAGGGAAGCACCGACAATGGCAGCGAGAAGGAGGAGGGCGAGGAGGAGGAGGATTGACCAGAAGCAGCAGCAGCAGCAGGAGAAGCGGCAGTGAGTGCGTTGGCGGCGGTGATAGTGGGATTGGGGGCGATAGAGCTGGCGGTTGGGGTTGTAGAGGTGCGACTTGACGGGGGCGGGATTGGCGTTGCCATTGGGGGCGGCGGCGGGGGCGGCGGGTTTGGAAGGAGCGAAAGGAGGTTGGTCGGTCATGGTGGGGAGGGGTAGGAAGGGAAGAAGAAAGTGGGGAGCAGAGGACGGGAAAGGGGTAATATGGAGATGGAGAGGAGGGAGGAGAGGGGGCTTTGCTTGTGTGAGGCTGACGAGAGGACATGCTTTTTTTAGACTTCCACCCCCATATCAAAAGGGATGCTTCCACCTCATCATTCTTATTTCTTGCCTTACAATATTATTTCTCTCTCTCCCACTCCCATTCCGTCATCAATTTATATAACTAGAAAAAAAATCCCCATCAAATGGCACTGGAGCTAAACTGCGAGAAAAATGCCAAACTTCATTATAAAAGCTTGTGTTCCAAGCAATGGCAACGTTAATTGAAGAGTTGGTTTCCCTCCCTCCTCTGCATCAGGCAGAGACAAATTTAAACTATTTAAATTTAATCTGAATAATTTATATTTTTAAAATAAAAAAAATATATATATATATATAAATTTAAAAGAATTTTAATAAATATGCTTATCAATTTGATTGCTCCAATTTAATGTGAATGATTTAAAATTAATATTAAAAATTTAAATTAATTTTTAAATATATTTTGGACAATGTAGATATACTCTGTATAAATGGTAAACTCATTAAAAAATTTTAATATTAAGTCTGGACCATTTGTATTAAATCTAAATTATCAGATTGATAAATATATTTATTAAAAAATTTATAATTTTTAGATAAATTTTATTTTTAAAATATAAATTAAAAATTAAATTTGAACTGTTCATATTAATCAGGATATTTAAATTTGTCTCTATCTCAATGAAAAGGCAACGGAGGCTTCCCTCAATGAAGGGAAGCTACTTCATTAATTGATAGGGATTAGTTATGTTAAGCTTAAAAATAAACTGTGAGAAATTGCTCAATGAGTATCGTTTTTTATTAAAATTATCAATTACTGTTAAATAAATGTAATTATTATTGTTTAGCTTCAATAGAGTAATTTTACCCGCAATTATTTAAATTTTAATATTTTTAATAATTTATATATAATAAATTGATAATTGATAATATCAGTAAAGCATGTGAAACTCTGAATCAATTTATGATTTAACAGAATTTATTTATTTAATTTTATTTTTTTTTATTTTTTTGGTTTAGAACCTAAAAGTGGGTTGTTTTTTTTTTATTTCTCTTCAACATCCTCATGCCTTCCATTGATGCCCTGATGTTGATTTTTTACGAGTTTGTGCGACTCTATATTGCTATTTTTTACTTAATTCCGTCATTTATTAGTAAAAGAAAAACAACCGTACTTGTTATTTTTTACATAATTAGATTACATTCAAGGTGTGTTTTGTGGTTTTTTTTTTTTTTTGGGAGGTGCGGGGGAGGGTTTATGACATGTAAGTTTGATACTCGCGGTCGGCAATAAATTGGGGGACTTCGATAATTAATCATAAATTCGCCCCTGTCATTTCATTTGTGAGTTTATGTATGCCCCTTGTTATCATATTCCCCTCGTTACGTTGCAAGCTCGGAATGGATTTATCACGGTCCAAATCTGTGATCCTTTTTATTATTTTCCCGCTATCTTCTGATTCGTAAGACAGCTATAATTAACATGCAATGCAAGAGAGCATCTAGTTGGAGAATAGTTGTTGTGAACAAGGAAGTGTTAACGGAGCAAAATTGGAAAGTTCTTTAAAAACAAAATTACTAATTAGCTTACACAATACACGAAAAAAATATGGAAAAAGTTATCCTTGTTTTCAGGAATTTAAATCCATTATTGATCATGAAAAAATATTATCACGTCAT